CAAACAGCTTCGTTGCGGTAAATAAATTCAACAATTATTATACGTAAACTCGAAACATTAATTGAGAAAAAAAAAATTATTAAACTGAAAGGAATTTCAAGTTAAAATTTTAAAAGGTGCCTTCTGACACCTTTAGGTAGAAACAGTGTTAAGCGATCCGAGAACTCGAGGAGCATCGAAACGACCGGGGATCCGAAACGATCGGCCGGTTCGATGCCGATCGATCGGCGCACCTCCGGGAGGGATCGTTGCCCCATACAGGGACTTCCTTTTCCCAGTACGGTTGAAATTTCTACGGCAGGCTTGGGCAGAAGCGGCGGCAGCGAACCATGTTACACGTGTATGGCTACTCAATCGGAAGCGAGGAATTACGAGCGTCTGGCGGTTTCCAACATGGCGGAATCTGGCGCCGCGCGTTACGGTCAACGAGGAGAAAGATGTCTTCCGGTGGGTGTCCTTCCCGCAGGACCCTGGGCCCCGCAATTCCGCTGGGTAATAAAGTCGAAACGCCATCGCCTGACTAATCCGGCTCAAATTCTAATTAAACAATTACGCAGTCCGGCCACTTTCCAGGGCCCCGTCCGTCTCGCTCGCCCACGCACCCCCGACAGTCTCTATTTCTCGGAATATCCCGTCCTCGAAGGGCAGCAAAGCGCCCTTACGCACGTAACACCCTCCAGGAGGTCAATTTCGACCGAATTCGCCGACAAGTGGCCATGCCGATGGAAAAGGGGTAAAAACTACCACCGAAAGTACTGGAAGTATCGCCTACCCTAAATTACTGTTACCCTACTAGCATAGAATAATTTCTAAATACTTCTTCGTAATATCTGCTAAATATCTCAAGCGACAGATTTTTCAAGATTTCTCGTAGATATTTGAAATATCTCTTGAAAATCCCAATGACACGTTTAGTTTCAATAATTTCCAAACCATATAGAGAAATTATATTTTTTCACTTACGAACCTAATGAAAATACATTTTTTGCTTCACGACTAATATTTCCGTCCCGCTATCTCGTTATGGGAGCAAAACGTGTGAAACTTGATTTTAAATATTTTTAAAAGAAATATTTCTAAATTATTCCATGCTACTAGGGTGGTTTTATTTTTTAACGACGCCGAACGGATACCGCCGATTTCGACCTCCGGTAACCCAGCGAGGGTCCCGGACATCCGGTCCCTCGCATCGCGTTCGATCGATAAGGCGGGAAGGTCGATTCTCGATTTTCTCGGGGCGTGCCGCTCGGGGAACTTCGTTCCGACTTATTTACGGGAGTTCGAGAAAAGTTGTTCCACCAGCCAGGGTGGCGGCAGGGGACCGGGGCGGGGGCGGGGTCTGGTCCCTCTCGCCTCTGGGCTCGCAAATACAGATGCACCTGCATACAGGTGCAACGTGCATACAGGCGCACGTGCATAGGTGCAACGTGCATACAGGTGCACCTGCATACAGGTGCAACGTGCATAGGTGCAACCGGGCACCCGGAGAGAAAAACCCTCCAGGGCTAACGTAACAGTCGCCAAGCGGCTGCGAATACGAAATAGTTCCAGTTCCCCCATAAATGCGCATAATTTTCTACATCTATTCGATTTGCATTATTGCCACCATTTCATTAAAACTAACGACTAAATACCGCGCCAAAGATGTCCATGGAAATTAAACCACCCGAGTTGTTTTCGACGTCACAAAAAATTCCTTAAAATTATATCGTCCCTGTGACATCACATTCGGTGTCAGGAATAAAGAGAATTACGACGTAACGTCGCATTTCATTCAAAATCCCCTGATACGGTAAATACACCTATTTATGCATCGTCGAATCCCTGATTATGTTTTTTGTCCCTACGCCTTTGTACATGAAACACCAGTAAATTTCCACAGATTCTTATCGGGTTATCATTTACGACCCTTTGTACACACCTGGAGTGTCCGTTCTATTTTATATCCTCCGGTGATATATTAAAGTTATTCACGGGACACGGAGCCAGTCTTATCATTACGCTTGGGTGTTGGAATTCCAAGAGTCGCGTCTATGTGCGTCTTCTATATCGTTTCACCTTCTTGTAGGAAGAAAAAGGGAAGTGGAACTCTCTCTTCAGCCACTCGTGCACGCGTGGAGTGCAACCGCTCGCGATAGGTCGTCCCGGTCGGCGGTGCATCAAACATGGCGGCCGGCTAGACAAAACAAAAACGCCCCGGCTAGGCCAGACGAGGGCTAGACGACCTCGCCGCCCGGGACGCCGGGGCGCCGCCGGTGGTGGGGGTGGGAACTACCGGCACTCCGCCCCTCCCCTCCCGGTTCGGCAATTTCTTTCGGATTCGTGGCCACCCCTTCCGATTTTCGGCACGCAATCATGAGTGCACCTAGTGATAATTAAAAAAAATAAGAATTTCGCCCTTCGACCTGCATTCCTTCCACGTCTTACCATGACATACCGTGTGTAATAACTATTACTTGAAGATGAAAAAGAAAGAACAACTCGAAAGGATCCCACGGGGGTAATCGCCCTTCCCAAGTGTCCGCGAATCGGGTATAAGGGTGCATTAAAACTGCAAGCGTTTGATTCGGGGTAGAAAAATCCCGGGAAAAAGTCATCTCGTTCCGCGTATGGATAAACTCGCGGCCTACCGTACCGACCGTCCGGCGGGTTTAATGGCACCGTTAACTGGGGTATTATTTAACGGGGGATTAATGCATCGCAGTCGGCCGATTAAAAGTCTAGGGCTATGGCGATCCCCTTAATCCCTCATAATAGCTCTCTCTCTCTCTGATAAACGTCCCTCCGCGTTTCCCGCCGGCCCTAGGTCCGTTCCCCGGACTGCCGGTAAAAATAGAAACGCCAATTACCGGCGGCGTTATACTTCGCGCGTTAAACCCGCCCCGTGACGTACGTGCCGCGGTCCGCCGGTCTCTCCTGCGGGATAGAATGATTGATTATGCCCGGATAGGCCGGCGCGCCCCGTTACCGACATCGCCGACACAAAGCTAGGGCGATGAGCGACGCTGCATCCACTAGCACCATGCAGCGCCATGCAGCGCTATGCACCATCGTGCAGCACCACTTGCACAATGCAGCACCTAGCAGCGTCCTGCGAGATGTCGACTCGCTATCCCCTTCCGCTCCGAAGAAGATCAATGGTCGAAACTCTACGGTTCGAAGTGCCCCACGAGACGTCGCAAAGAGAGAGATAATTCCTAGATAGTTCCTAGATAGTTCCTAGATAGTCTATGCATCGCCATCCTCATTAAAAATGGATACTAAGACTCCCGTACATATCCTTTCCCCCTTGCACGGTTCGACCGTAAGAATTAATTGAAAAATTACCCCACGTCTCTCCCCTCGTCGGCGCCCCCGGTTGGCTATGTTTCCCTGAATCGTTACGGCGAGCTCTGTAGACAAAAATGAAATTCCCCAGGACTTTTCGACTCCATTTTTAATAACGAGATAATCCTCGGTACCCCATATCTCTTGTACAAGCGAAGAAACATGCGGCGTGAAATTCCCAGGTATCGACCCCCTGACCCTAAACAATTGTCTATAAACTTATAATATAAATGTGCAATTTCTAAAGAATATCCCTCGGTTACGATGTACCGGTGCGAGGTATAAGAAATGTTAAAATTATTAAAAAGGTGAAAATCAAAGTGGGAGATATTCTCAAACCGGCGACTTCAAAGTCGCGGGGTACAGAGGGTGTACCGAGAAGAGCGGAAAAGGGGGAAGAGGTCGAAGAAGCGTCCCGGGGGAGGTCCGGGAAGCGTCGGGGTCGCGAGGGTGTCAGGTGAAGGCGACGTCTCGAGGCGCGTCGGCGTCGTCGCGGGCTCCGCAACCGGGGATTTGCATCTCTCTATGCGCGCAAGGCCAACGGGGGCGAGAGAGAGGGTCGGCCGGCTGCAGGGCGAGAGGGAGGAAGAAGAGAGACGGGCGGCCGAACGGAAGGAGGTAGAGGGAGGCGGAGAGAGCGTGGTCGATGTGTCTAGCCTAGCCCGGTTGGCTGGTTGGCTGGCTGGTTCAACCAGGGACCGTCTAGCTCGCGTCTGCCTCTCGCACAAACTCGGCATTATCTATACGTCTAGACACCCTCGCGCTATAGAGAAGAGACCGTAGCGGTTTGGCGCTCCGCTAGTAATTTACAGCGCCCCCGACCAGCGGGACCGGCTTCCCCCCTGCGTGGCTTTTTCGCCCGGCCCCCGCCACCCCCGGAATTCTCGCCGACGGTCCCGAGAGGTGGCTCGAGCTCGCCCGAACGCGAGAACCTCCTCCACCGTATCCCCTCTCGGCCAAAAAATTCGGGGTGGCTTTTGAAAAACCCCATAAAACTCGAGCCACCCTCGCGCAATCCGTAAATTAGCGTCCCATCGTGGACCTCCAGGTTCGACGGTGGTTTTTTTTACGGTGACCTCGAAACGAGCGATTGGTGCACCCTCGGATATTCGGGCGGATCGCGCTCGTTAGTCCGAGGGCCGGAAATGCCGGTAAAGGTGCGCGGGAGGGCTCCTCCCGGAAAGGGCCGACTCGCCGGAAGAGATCGGAGGGGTGGAAGGTTTAAGCGACGTAACTTACAGAAACTACGCTTCCGAGCGGTCTCGAGGGCAGATTAGTCGTAATCTCGGCGCCCTGCGTTCACCCCCGACGGCCACCCTCCTAGCCCTCTTCGTGCCTCTCTTTCCCATCCGGCGTCTTACTCCATCTCCGTCCTCCTCTCGCGCCCCGTCCGCCGCCTCGCCTCGTCTCGCTCGCTCTCGCGTGGACGCGCCTTCCGCGACCTGTTCGTGACTATATCGCCGGTTTATTTCCTGGAGGCCCGGGCATTTTTCACATTTTCACCCCGAGGGTCGACTCGAATTTGTCCTTGTGATTATTTCGAATTTCGATAACTCGAGTCGATAGAGTACTCGTATTGACATATAGCTTTAGGGTATACCGGGTCGAGGTCGTCCCCCCATGAGTACTCGCTCGGGGCCTAGACTATCGAACAAACGTTGCTTGGACGGCAAGCAACGAGTCGCCGAGAGACCTCGTCTCGGGTTAGAAGGTACAAAAGGATGAGCGCCGCCTCGAAGAAGAGAGACCCTCCGAGATCGAAGCCCGGAGAGACCTCGGAGAAGGAGCGTTGTCACGGCCGCGGGAAGACCGGTCGTCCGATTTTCGAGAAGAGATTCGAAACCTCCGGGGCCCCGTTCAATCTCGACAATATACGGTAGGTGATCCCCGAGTACTCCACCGAAACCGTCGGCAAGCCATTCTCCTCCGTCTCATTCCCTTACGTAAGGGATTAATAAATAAACAATAGAGCGCCGCTTCTCCCTCTCTTCGGCTGCGCGAAATGGAACGAGATGGAAGAGAGCCGGTGCGCAAACGTTTCCAGGTCCCTGGAGAAAAACCAGGTCCAGTTACGCAGACCTCGCCAGGAACAATTGATCGACCTTGTTCCCCGACGAGAAGACGCCCTTTTGTGCGAGCACCTTCCAACAACAAACCTTGATATATTGAATAAATCGTCTCGCCGTATTAAATCGATATCCAACATTTAACTACCGTGTCACGTTTAATTTCTGAACGTGCAAGGATATTGTACTATTTATTTGTACTATTGTACTAACTATATGCAACGTAAGAACCTTCTGCTCCTTTCCGGACCACAGGAAGGAGGTGAATCGTCTCGAGTGGAAGGCGGCGATCGGTTGGAACCAGGAGTATGGACACCTATCAGGGAAAGTCTTTCAGAAGGTGAGAACGATAATTGGAATTAACGATTGCTTATCGATTACAGAAATTACACGCGATGTACTATCAAGGTTTGTTCCAGGTGCTAGCCGAGGAGTGCGCTAAAGCTGGACTTCCGGTGGACACGTTTGCGCCTCACTTACCGAAGGACCCGGTGAAGAAGTCGCCGATTATAATTAAAGAATCCCCGCCATTTCCTACCACTAGTTCGTCCGACGTTGGTTGGAGATCGGCGTGGAAAGATCGCTGGTTGGAATTCGCCGGACCCATGTACGTATCTCCAAGACACACCATAGAACCTCCTCTAGAGTCCGGCGAGTTCCGCGTTACCCAACAGAAGTTTATTTCCCTTGGATGAAAGGATGAACGCCACGGAGGAATGCTAAAAAGGACTCATTCGATGAACTCGATGCCTCGAATTTAGACGGGGTCATCTGTACCAGAAGAATCATTCGAATCGACTAAGAAAAGCGCATCTAATTGATTCATAATCCCCTTCAGTATGTAAAAAGTGTGGTTCGTCCAGTGGCATAAATTTTTGTCTTTGTGGTACGACATGTATAATTAAATAATGGAATTTCTTCCATCAAATTATTTCTCAAGTCCCGTTGAAGTTTCAGAATGCTCCTTATATTTACGTTTAAAATCGGTAAGAATCAGAGATCGTTGATAATGCCGTAAGATCACCTTCTAATCCCCTCAATTATATCTTATCAAATGTGAGAAAAGTACCGACAATGGTTGGGAAAGAGCTATTTGCGTTCTTTCAGTCGAGCCGTAAATGTTCAGGTATATGTTACCTGTTTCCTCGGTAGATATGCAAGGTACGGGGGAATCTTATCCATTAAACTGCAGACAAAGGAACATGGTTTGTCGGAACTATCATCTTCATCAGGAGTCCTTCATGAATTACATGCCATAATACTTTTGCTTGAGCGTCGGAGGTAATTTTTCGATTAAAGAAGTAGGATCCACTTCCACCGCCACCATTTCGCTGTCGTTCAGCCACGCCAGGTGCACCAGGTGCTACATATGCAAACAATTAGAAAACATTACTCTTGCACCATTAGGATATAATTTGCCATTTAAAATTTTTTTTGTAATTCTTCATACGTCATTAAGTTACTTCACCTTGTACTTCTTCGCCATATGAAAAGCGTGCTGGGACTGGGAATAAGAACCCGAACTGCTATCTTCCGTAGATTCGCCGTTTTCGAGCTTCGGGATTTTAGCTTCGTTCCTCGGAAGACTTTTGTTCTTGTCAATGACGTAAACGGTTGTGTCATCGTGTAAAATAATTACGTTCTCGTTGTTCGGATCGAAAGTAACATTGGTGACTGGAAATGGCCGAGCGAGCCACTGATGCGGTAAACGACTCTCGAGGTTGTTGGAAAATTCGGTGAACTGCCTCTTCGGGATGTTATACTCGAGGATCTGTAAATAGAGCGTAAAAGGGAATTTTATACGAGCCGAAAATGAGAGCTTCAGGGCGAACGGAATTCTTTTTACCTACAGAAGCAGTAATACCGTTTACTAGATCACGGGACGAATTGAGACAAGAAATCTTAGGGGGCATTGACGCCGCAGTCGTAAACCTCAATTCTCTACGGAATTAAGGCTTAATATTTTTTTAACGACTAACCGCCATAAATAAAGAAAATTTAATCCTACTGCAGCGCCGCTATAAAGCATCCGGCTTTATAGTTTTTAATAGTAAGGTAAAAGCTTTGCGAACCTTAAAAATAAGATATTAATTCGAAACGGCATCTTTACCCTCGAGACAGCGCAGATTGAAGCTGCAACAGGGACAGATATTGCGGTTCTTTACTACCAGGGTCATTACCGAGATGTACCCTTTTACGGCGTGAAATATAACTGAAGATGAATTGGATTACTGCTTCTGTAGAAAACGTCGAAAACATTTACAGGGCCTTCGAGGTTGTAACATTTTTAACCAAAAGAAAAATATTGGAAGAACGCATTTCTATGATTTAATAGGAATAGTTCCTATCGTCTCACCTTGTGATCGGAGTAAACGATGACCAAGTTCAGGGTGCTCTTTTGGACAGCTATCGCAGTTGGTGCACAGTTGTATTTTGGTAAATACCACGATTGGATAGATTCTGTGGAAAGTTCTCTGTCAATTTTATATACAACGATACGACTTCGTTGGTCGGCACAGAGTAAGTAGCCACTGTCGGGTGAAAAACACATCAAGCCGATATTATCCATGGAATCTTTTGGAGTACGAACGGAGCCTGCTAGCCAGAGAAGTTTCTTCTCAACTCGGAAGAAAACTATCGTGTTCCCATTTCCATCGTTATTAATGGCCACAAAGAGCTTTCCGTTTGGGCTGAACAACATTTTCTGCACCCTGGGCAAAGTTAAGTCGATGTCATTCCTAGCCAATTGAGCGTCACCATCGATTACGTCAAAATTGAAAACTCTAACATGAGTGTCGGTTGAGTACACGATTGTTTTAGAGTCTTTATTAATTGCACAGGAAATTATAGGCTCGTCACCTTTCGTTTTTAGTTGAAGCAATTTTATTGGCTCTTCTCCGAGCCAATGCGTCGTTTGAACATGGGAGGAGTTCTGTGACGTTTTACTTGTAGACGCCAATTTCCATAATTCTAAATAGTTTGTATATCTCAACAAAATGCACCTCGACTTTTTACAAACGGTCACACACGGTGGTTGTAATAATGGGGGATATTTCACAAGCATTTTTGGAGGGTAGCTCGACTGAGCCAAATACCCATCTACTCCAGCAGAGTACAACTTTCCATTAGCTTCCACTAAAGCTCTAACGTCATGAGTATGAAGTCTCCTTTCGATTCCTTTTACCCAATGTGCCTTTCCTGTGGATTTAAGAAGTACCCTAGAAAAAGTTCGCACTACTGGATCCACGCCAGCGCAATACACCATATTAGTTTCGCGAGACATTGCAATAGCAAGTATATCCGCGGAATGACTTTCATGGGCTTCGATTAAAGTTCCCATATGGGGATCCCAAAATGACAAAATACCCCGGGAATCTCCCGAAACTATGAGGTTGTCATCGGTCACCGCCAAGCACCAGATTATTGTCTCTTTCTTTCCTTCTTTTCTAGACGTGATCATCTTATGAATTGCATGACCGGTAATTGCATTCCATACTCTTACAGTGTCGGTAGAACCAGTGAAAATCATTTCACCGGTATTGTCCCATTCGATACATAATATTCTTCCTTTCTGTTTATCAAAGATCCTCTCGTAAAGTAAGGAATCATTTGTAACAGTAAAGGTGTTTATATAACCATCCTCCGTACCAATGGCTAAACGAGTATTTTCTCTATTTACACTCATGCACCAAGCCGCTCCTCCTGTCACCGCAGTCTCGGCTTTAATACCCAATTGCGTTAAGTCATATTCCATAATCATACCGCTTAACCCAGTCGAAAATAGTCTGGATCCAACCCATAGAACGGTTTCGACGCATCCTTCTGGATGTCCAGGTATGGTGTTTTCCAAAAACGGAGCATTTGCCACGTTCCATATTTCGATCGAATTGTCGTTTCTACACAAAACCGCAATTTAATATTCAAAACATCAATTAGCCTTTCAGCATTGTTCACATTTCGTACAAGTATACAAGATTTACTAACCTCGAAAGTGCCAGTTTTTTATGTCGGCGTTCATAGGTTAAGCAAGTTGCCGCTCTTGGTTCCAAATTATAAAATCTCACATTATGAATCTTACATGTAGACATGATTGGCGTTAAGACATATCTATTAAATTTCACAAATTAAACTTCGCTTGAGATTACAACCTAACCACGATAACAAGCACGTGCGACTCAACCACGGTCTATGAAATATTAGGTTACTCGTGCGTTCTTCCAAAGTTGAATAACCAATCAGAGCTGTTCCAAGTGGCCGCCATTATAACTAAGTATATGAAAATAATGAAACGGATATTATTATAAAAATGTAATTCTCAATGCCATAAAAATAAATTATTTAAATATTTTATGCCATGCTTTTAACAATTTCATGGAAATTAGAAAGAATTGATTTTTTCAATCAGGTACAGGTTAAAATGGATAAATACTACTCACCTGATTTTTGTTCGTCCTTATTACTCACAAAACGCGGGTAAACTCTGTAAACCATTTCATAATTGTTTTATCCGTTTGTTGGGGATTTTTAGGTTCTCTAATTTTTGAAAGTAACGATAGTCATTAATATTGTACAGTTAAGAAAGATCTGCATCAATAGGTTTTTAATCATTAGAAACTTTGAAATGTTTGTTCCCGTTAAGAGGTTAGTTCAAATTAATTGATCTCTCACTTTTTAAATAGTTCTAAAAATAATTGTCATAAATAACCCACCTAGAGACGGACAATTGACAGAATGGGCAATGATAGAATTACAAGGAGAACTAAAGAATGCTACAATCGATTCTACAAGTAATACATTTATTGGAGATCTTCACTTTACTAAGGCCGGAATACCAGTCCTTATAATTGGTATCCATATCCTGTATGGAAAAGAAATAAAATTGGACAAACCTATTGCAGTATTGCAAAAGAGTAGGTACGATAAACATGGTAATCCAATAAGTGAAGAATTTCCAGCTGATGATTATAAAACAGAATATGTTATAAAAGCAGTCGTTAAAAAAAAACTAGTGTTTAAAGGGCGACCAAAACCCATTGTTACCAATGTACCAAAACCTGTTTAAATTTAACAAAGATATACTGCCACAAAAGTTTTTACACAACTACCACATAAGATACAATTGCACTAAATATTTTATATTTGTTATTAAAATGTTTTTCATAAATGTACAATGAAGTTTTATAGAAAATTCTTTAATAAACTGATTTTTACAGCTCTCGGTTCTTTTTTAAGAATTACTTCTATTGAGTTTTGTCGTCAATGGTATGTTTCAAGTAATGTAACTTATACATATATAACTTACTTCAAAGTTTATTACATATGATACTCCTTAATTTATTTTAGCAAGCGTTTGAAAGCATGTTAAATTATTTGTTAAATTCGCTAATCCTTCATCTCTCCTTCTTCGTCTTCTTCCTCTACTCCTCTTATGTACATCACATTGTTACATCTTATTAAAACTTCCCCGAGATTACCAGTGCAACTTCCGTCCACAAATTCCTCAGTATTCGCAAGTTGCAAATTCATGTATCCATCGACCGATACTAAGTAACCTTTATATTCGTGTCCCCATTTGAGTTTTACCATTACAGGTTTTCCAGTCAATCCATTTAAAAATGGTTTTGGATTTATAGGCATAGTCGCAGCCATTGCGATGGATTTTTATACCTAACAAACAAAACATTGCGATGTATTTAAGGTTATGCTACATGCTAACATCGTAAACACTTTAAATAAAACAAGAAAAGTAACGACAAGCTTTACAAAATAGAATTAATTACAAAAGGTAAATATTTCAATTCCAAAAACAGGTACATTTCATGCAGTATAACGAACTCAGTGATAATAAAAATATGTATCTTACAGGTTAAACAATGTTGATTTAAATATAATAATTCAAAGGGTTAATTATTAATGGAGATATTGTACTACTTACGATTACAACGAAAAATATGAAATGTAAACACGTCGGCGTGCCGCAATTTTGCCGACCATTAATTATGATTCTATAGATACACCGAATGAGCATTAACAGAGATGAGTTGGGAGATTGTTCAGGGTGGCGCGGTCGGTCCTGTGCTGCCCCCTGGTGGAGGATGTGAACGTCTAATGCACTTGCCACCTGATTAACAGCTTTCACTATTTTCTTGTATCAATTATTTACATATTTATCATATTATTTCCGTGATTATTAAAAATCACGTTCATGTTTTTTAATACATGAAAAAATGTTCAGTTGTATTCCAGAACTATGATGTGCTCAGTGAAAATTAATGTTAGCTAAATGCAAGTGAAGGGGAGAAATGAATAATAGGAATGGAATATTTATACTTTCCTTTCCATTTGTATGAAGCGATGATAATTAAATCATTAAGAGTAGATAATTTTATCATGGCAAATATTCTATGACGTTTTAATATCTTTACTCCAGAAATTCACAACAGCTACTGTTAGATATCAAAAGTCGACATTTTCTATGTTAAATTAATAGGCATACTAATACGCCATTTAAAAATCATTGTACAAAATTCGCCTAGATCAGTCAGCGATATCGACCGATGGTAGTGCTTACAAAAAGGAAAGTTTCGTTCACAGCTACTACCACATCGAACCTTACGAATGTCAGCAAGTACAAAATTAAGTATATTACATATTAACATATAGATTGTGCACAAAAGTTCATTCCTTGAGTGTACTAGAATACCTTTGAAACGTAACAACGGGGTTTAATTTATTTCTCTGTTGGAAGGTAATTAACCATCAGATGAATCTTATACTATATCATGCTGTAAGTTAATTGCACGAACTGGCGTTCTTGTCTCATTTTGCTTTCCTTCCATTGGCCCTTATGGCTACAATGGATTCTACCCTCATATATTCTTCAAGTCATCCGGAAGGTCATTTTTTGGATGTTTGTTCTCAAAGTGCTGTTTGTAGGTCTTAGGGTCAGGCATCTGTGCCTGTAAACACATTCAATCAAATATTATCAAATTTCTATTTATTAAACATGAAACGATAAAAGCTATTACAATTGAACAAGACCAATCGTATTTATATTTTCTTGCATATAATATACTAGTCTCGGATTAGAAATGTTTCCAATTTTCAGAATTACACCCATTAATAAAGGCATCAACAAACCTTGCAAACGGCACACACGTGGACGAGAGCTTTTTGCGCTGCCTTCTTTTGGTCATTGGCACTGTGTCCTTGTTGTTTCTTAACTTTTGCAGCTTTCTCCGCTGCCTTTGCCTGTGACTGAATTTTCTGATGTCCACGAGCCATTCTATAAACCAAAGAATTATAAAGTAAAACCCATATGCTTCGATGCGAGGAATAAGGTTCTTTCCGTTCCGCGAAATATATTTACATATATAATCATACGACCAAAGTATGGCAAGAGGTTAGAGAGAAAGTGGTTTCAATTTTTGTCATACAGATTTACTTTCTAGCTAACAAAGCACAGGAAAAATTGTCTCCAATCTCCTAAACACATTTAATACGCAATGTTTACAAAATTCAAGGAAGCCTCAAAATGTTCAACTTCCATATGAGCTTAATTTTCTACGCTATACCTAATACATTCCAAGGAGATTATTTCTCTAATCGCAGTTCTTTTCAAAAGGTATAGGAACGTTCTAAGAATAAAAATATACTTTATCTTGGAGCACGGAGCACCAGTTCGGTGAAATTAATATCCGATGTGTCAAGACCTCTTCCAAGTGGTGGCCGCAATCGAGAGAAAGGCTATGCAGTGTCCGAGTAACTTTCTACAAGAAAACGACACACCGAAAATACCTACTCTCGGATTTAACAGATCATTTAAATTCCCAGTTCTTTACCTGATTTTCCGAAGGCGTTTCGACGGGGTCGATCTCTCAGAAGACTCGAGATTTCCGGCTCGTTTTCTCGGTTTCGCGCTCACCTCACACCTGAATTTTGCTGTCCCTGCGAAACTAATCACTACGAGACTCTAGACATGAATTGGAACAGCTACGAAACCACACGAAACTGTACGTAGCGCGTGTCTATACGTGTGAACCGAAAGATCACAAAACGGCTAACCGCGAATCATGTGAATGCTCTCGAAATGCCAATCTTTACCGACCGATGCGTAAATAGGGAAAGATTGATTGCCATCGACTATCGGGATTGCCGACACCACGGGAATAATAAATAATATACCAGGCTCTTTCGAGTTTAAATAATTTTATGATAAGCATTGAAGTTCCGCGAGCAATCTCTACAGGTTCCAAGAGAATTCGGGAGATCTCATTGGACGTTTCCGATGGATCCATCGGTATACAGCCAATCAGAGAACTGCTACGCGACGGTTACGAAATGCGCAGCTTTGATTGGCTGCTGCGAGTGGCATCATTCCTCCCGCGCTATTGGTCGAATTCAAGTGAAGTACTTGAATTACCGAGTGGCTCATTTGTCTAGTTTTTCTGGACATTTTCATTTTTCAAAAGTCGTACCGCAATTGAAGATTTTTTAGTGACTATTTCGTGTCACGACTGTTTGTCGTGAGAAATATTATAAAGATTAAAATGTAGAATCGTGACGCTCGTGTAAAATTCTATCAGGTTTCGGAATGTAAAATTTGGAAAATTATATCTTCCATTCTTGCCCTCCTCCGTATAAATACGTCGAAATCTACAACTTTTCGTATTATTATTGGAAAAATGTTACCTGCCGCATTTTTCCAGCAAAGTTTCGCATCAAATCTTCCCGTCCACGGCGCTGGGGTCAAAGATCAAACTTTTAGTTACATACTTTTCCTACAAAATACTGAAAATAAAACCGGCGACGGAGGCTTAATAATTCTGAAAATGTGTCTAATTAATTTTTTCATCACATCTGACACAGAGAAGTGCAATTTAAGAGGAGTAGAATTTCAATTGATCTTGACTCATCTCGAATATTCCTGAAGCGGATGTAGGGGGGAGCCAATAGCAGCGCTCCTGCAAAAATCGACCAATCACGTGCCTGGAATCCGTCAGCGGTTCAATCGCGGTCCCCGTGGGTTTGCGAACACGCAACTCGGAGCTCTCGGCCAGCGCCGCCATGTTTGCTTTCGAGAACACGTAACTGGTTGTTTCTCCTGAGCATAGCAGAGAATCTTTCCGCTGATGTAGTGAAATTTCGCGTATAGGAGCATTGGGAGCGACTTTCGATCGAAGCGTCCTTACGATTCGAAGACGCCATGACGTCGATACACTTTGTGGTTCATCCGTTACCGGGAACCGACGATCAACTCAACGATAGGTAAGTAATGCCGTTCGGCCTCTGCCATTCGCATTGGCTTATCGTTTCGAATGCCTCTCTCCTTTCCCGGCTCCCTCGTCGACTTCGATCCGTCCGACCTTTTCATGGAGCATTTCTTAACGCGTCTCGTTTATTCGTCGAGTACAATGCCTTCTGCATCGTGCCGACATTCTCCAGTAGTTTCTATCGCCGACGTGATGCAATGGCTTTGACGAATATGTCGCTGGTATGACGTACAAAATTGCTGTCAGCCACTTGCAGCTCTCTTGAATAACGCATGCATGAGTCTGGCCGTTTGATGCATTGCAATACGCAAACGCGCGTTCTCACGGATGACGCCTTCGAAATATTTTTAATTGACATTGCTTCGAGCTCCATAATGGAGTATTCATTCCGAATGCTGTACTTCTTTAACTGTAACTGATGTTTCCATATAGCACCGATCATTGTCGTTCCTCCAGAATGAGTGAATATTTTTACCTGAGAATGTATCGGCTAATCGAACTGTTATGGTTGACTTACGTACAGATTAAAAATTTGGAGCAAGAAAAAGGATGGCAATCGTTATATCGATATACCGATAAGACTTTTTTATGGTAAACGGAATACCTTTTTGGTAGCTTATATCTTTGTACGGTATTAATGATACAACGCCATTTGCTTAGAATTTAGAATGTAATTATAATTACGTTCAATATACAGCTCAATGGTTTGCGTACAAGAAGAATCAAACATTATGTTATAATTATCTGCGATTATATTGAAAGTTGTAATCTAATGCAACTATTTAATGTCTTTGGTATATTTAATTTTTCATTGATATTAAATATGTATGATATATGCTTGGTAATATATAAATAATATAAAAAAACTGTAAATAAAAACAACCACTTTCATATTTTTACTTTTAATAATGTTATTATAATTGTTTTTTAATGATCAGTGTTTGGTGCAAAGTATAATATTACACGTGCATTAAATTTAAAATGGAATGTTTCAGAATATTCCACGGAATAAGAAAATTTTATTAATTGTTATGTAGTAAGAATCGTTATATGTGATAATATAACATTGATTGAAAAAAATTATTTTAGCAGTTCTTAATTAAAAATAATGATTTCAGTTGCACCTACCTCAAATCAAGTTTGTATATGCAAAGCACCTTATTTACTTTTCAGATTAAAGGAGGTTGCTGAGAAAATAAATAGATATGGATTTGTCACACCCCCAGCATTTAATGGATTAAAAGCATCCGTTAAGAGAATTGTAATTGGACCGACTCATATCGCTCTTCTTATGGAAGACAATAAAATCTGTCGAGTAGCTTTTACAATTCTTTCGGACAGATTGGATTTAAGTAAAAATGAACCCAATAAAAAGTGAGCTATTATTCATTTCTAAAGAACATAAACCTATATTTTTCTTTGCCACATGTAATAGATATTCACTATATGTATTCTTAGCACGAGTAAAAATCATGTTGGTAATTCAAATTCAACACCAAGTGGAAGTGGAAGCAGCGGCAGTGGAGGTAGAGCTGGCATTCCTCGATCTAGATCTGCTAGAATTATGAGAAGTAGTTCTGCAATTCGTGGTGGTGGTAGCGGTGGAGGAAGTGGAAATAGTGCCAGAATTGGTCCAGCAGGTGTTATAATGGCCGGAGGGGGTGGTAGCAGTGCTCGATCCATAGTGTCTATGCCAACCCCATTTGTGCCTGAAGATCTGATTTCTCAGGCCCAAGTAGTATTACAAGGGAAGAGTCGAAATCTCATTATTAGAGAACTTCAGGTGTGTAACTTGGTTCGCTACTATTATATTATCGATATCTTGAAAAGAAGAAGTAAAGCAATTTATGCAAATGTAAAAATCCTAAATGTCAACAAAGATATATTCAACTAATTTATTATGAAAACCTTTTTCAAACAGCGCACTAATCTAGATGTAAATCTGGCTGTAAATAATCTTTTATCTCGAGATGACGAGGAAGGGGATGATGCAGAGGATGCTGCTGATAGCTATGTTCCAGAAGATCTTATTTCATTATTGGATGGTGGATTTAGTAACGAGCACTCGGTTATCATTGATGCTGACTCCATGTTTTCTGAGGATATGTTTGGATATTCAGGCATAAGAAGGTGCGCTGTCACAAACTTTTCATTCTTTAAATTTTTTTTTTTTTTTATAAGTATTTATGACTCAATTGTAAAATGAATATTTCAGCCGTGGTAGTACTTCAAGAAGACTCGGTAATGATAGAGATGGAGAACGCTCGACCGATCGTGATCGAGATCGCGATAGCTTCAGCAGGTGGAGGGACCGTCAGTATTATGGACCTCGACGATGGTTGGAAACTGCTTTGAAAGATTCATGGGAAAAAGATCCTGGTACGGATAAAATTAGTACAGATTTTAAATTCATTACATACTACTCACCAACAAAACGGTTTTTTTTTCATTTTATTAATATTTAACCATTCCAGATAACAAAAAGAAGGAACTAGCTTCGCAGAGCCCGATATGGATATCCGAAGAATTAGAGTGGTGGCATGAACGCAGCGGTGAACCTGCACCACGCTTTGTTCAAATTGCTTCGCTGTACAGCGAACTCATTGCAATTTCTGTGACGGGGCAATTATACCAATGGAGATGGGCAGATTCTGAACCTTACAAACACCCTGAGGTATTACATTATGATTTAAGTTATTAAATATTTGTAATGTTTCATGTATATAGAATGACCCTTTCATATTACCTTAACCAATGCAATAACAAGTGATCTGTTATTTTAATTATCTTTTGCTTTCCAGAATCCAAATATCCATCATCCGAAAACTATTCCCTTGGCATTGATGGGCGAGAAAATAGTGAATATCTCTGCGACTGCGATTCGTTGCTCCGTTAGCACTGAAAGTGGAAAAGTGGCAACTTGGCTAGATGAACCTTTGGGGCCTGTGGCAGCCCGTTTAGAACACCCAGCACAAGCCTTCACTGAATTCACTTTAGATAAAATTGTATCGCTTCATACATGTTCTCTGTACACGGTTGCGAGATTGGAGAGTGGAGCACTCTATTGGTGGTAAGTTGTGATAAAATCTGTACATATATAAATAATGGCGTGATTTTATGCACTAGTAAAATGTAATTACAATTCCTGGGATGTATTGAGGGGTCATTCGTATGAAAGAATTATATTTTTAGTTGTATATTCATTTTATAAGCAAAAAATGTACATAATCAAACGTATTTACGTATACTTATTTTAGGGGAGTTTTACCCTTTGCTCAACGAAAGAAACTTTGGGAGAGATACAAGGCAAAGTCACGAAAGCACAGGGCTTCAATAGCTCTTCCAACTGAAATTAGTTATGGCGCACACGTCTGTATGAAAAATAGCCCAATACATCAACCTGGTGCCATCGGTGAGCATATTGTTTGTCTTTGTTACAAATATTACAATTACTCGAATAGGACGAAATAAGTGATCCTGTAAATCTAGAGTAATCCTTTATATATACATAATTGTTTTAATGTTAGTGCGGATAATAGTAATAAAAAGAATTATTGTCTACAGGCTTTACTATAGCTAACGGTGTACCAAAAGTAGGACAGCTTTTATCAGCAGCATGGAATTTAGATGTAACTTGCCGTTTTAAGATTTTGCCCGCTGGCTCATTATTGCCACCTAATACCTCGACTGAGAAACGTGAATCTAATGGGAATAGTTGCACTGGTAATTCCAGTAAGACTAATCATAAGGAGACAGCAGATCGTCTCGACATGCCTCCACCACCATCCCCTGCTTCGAGCACTTGCAGCGATACTGGCAGCATTACTACCAGTCACAGTAAGTAATAATGAAGTATTTATATAGCCTAAGTTTTCGTTTCCTCCAAACTGAGTGCACCGTATCATTTGAAACATCAACACATGATTACGGAGGCATTTTGGTACTACATTTATTAAACATTAGATATATTTTGAAATTAATAATTTCAGAGCGACAAAAGCGAATGGCACCAAGAAATGAAGGTGAACCTGAGAGAAAAGATGAAGAAGATTGGCAACTGAAAGATGTCGTCTTCGTCGAAGATGTCAAGACTGTTGCAATAGGTAAGATTTATGTTACATTAATAACGTTTTATATGGAATATCGTTAATGCCGAATCATCGAGTAATGAACTAAATTACTTTTAGGGAAAGTAATAAAGGTCGATGGCAACTATGTGGCTGTCAAGTTCTTTTCAAAAGACTCCAAGGAAAAGGAAAGAGAGACGAAAGAGAAAGACTTCAGCGCTTCTGACTTTAAAGATCTAACGGCGGAGGAATTGATAAAATTACTTGCTGACTGTAGACTTTTAAGAAAAGATGAATTACAGGTAGGTTGCAGTAATATTACAAATTGTCAATATCTGGTAAATGGTAGTTGTGTATGCCTTAATTGTATGTTTTTGCCTCTTAAGGTAATTAAATCTCCACTAAACGCACGTGCACCAGATTGTTTCCAACGTACACCGAGAAGAGTTAATACCGTGGACGGTACAACCGAAAACATTTTAACTATTGCAACCGATGGACAAGGTAGAATATTAATCTTCATTGTTTATTGTCGTTGATGTAGATTTTATCGTTGCGTGGAGTCCGTTGTTGTTACTATAAAGAGAAATAATAGAAGAATTCTTATTCCAGGAATCCATGCTATTTTAAAATCTAACAATAAACTAAATTACGTAGTATACAATTTAAGTACTGGGAGATATGTGCAAGACTGCTACATTCCCTCAGAGATATCCTCATTTATGGGGCTGCAGCCTCAGAATATCAGTCTTATCAGTGCAGGAGAGGTAATTAAAAAGAATTTCAAGTACTCGAAAGATTATGCATGCTTCGGTTGATAACGTATTATCATGGTTTCCCATTCTAGAGTACCGAGTGCTCCATGATTCTTCGTGATGGAAACAGTACTATCTATCCCATTGCAAAAGATTGCGCTTTTGCGATCCGCGATCCTAATTGGTTGGATCTTATGCCAGTGCTCTGCCTAGGAGCATCAACGATTCCCCTACCAAGTTGTTCGAATTCAACAAACCTGAAGAATCGAGTTGCAGTTATTGCTTTCGTGTTTGACAATCTCTTGCTTATGCTTCGCATATTGAGATGCGACTACGATGGTGTCAAGCAAGTGTTTGCAAGCTTGGAACAAGATACTAGTGAGTATATGTTTAAACTACACCTTTGTTGAATTTTGCAGCTACAGGCTGACTCATATCACCTAAACTCTGTAAATATAATGTAAAATAATTATATTCCGTGTTTATATTTACAGAAGGCTCGTTAGCACAAATTCAGGTTATTCTGACCGAGCGTTGCGACAGTAATCGCAATATCATTCATGCATGTGTGAACATGTGTGCCCCGACATCGAACAAGGAAAATGAACCAGGTACCATTAAATGCATATCAGCTATTGTAAATTGAATCCACGTTTATAAGTTAAAATGAATTATTACAAATGTTCATGGTATTCATTTAAATGAGTGATACGCGTGAATAATTAATTAATATTCGATAACAATTTTCGACAACCGTGAAGTATATGTATTTGTTTTATGAAAAAGGTATCGAACGTGAACTAGCCGCGAACACGGTTGATGGCAATTCCGCTCCTATTGAGGAACCGATCCCAGCATTAAGTTGGCCTTCGGAAGCTTTTGACAATACATCCGGAGAGGAGGATAGCTTGCTCAGTATCGGAGCCGCTAGTATTTCAATGATGACAAAAACCGGTACGATGTCTTTAAGATATCCGCTGAACGTGTTATTTAGATATGTCTAATGATGCGCATTTTTTTCAGGTCTGGGCTCGGCATCGAACAATACCTACATTATTGACTCGGTTGAGAGAAGAAACAACGCTTTGTTAATACTGAGATACATGTGCGAAAATACCGTCCTGGCTCCGCATCTTAAAGAATTGCTTACGGCAAAGTAAATATCGGTCAACTATAAATTTCATTTAATGTGTCCTGTAGTTTCTGGTAGTTTGCAATGTTCGTTATTTATTTTCGTAGGGATGCCCAAGGACAAACTCCTTTAATGCTCGCTGTGTCTGCACGGGCGTATCACGCAGCGTTGATCTTGTTGGATGCTATTCAACGAGTGGGCAGAGATGCGAAGGAATGCTCGTTGATGATCCTTCCACCCGATGCAAATCCAGATCTGTCACCCTTATTCGTTCTTTGTTGCAACGACACTTGTAGCTTCACTTGGACTGGAGCGGATCATATCAATCAGGTTAATATATGCATATGATTATGAGATTTATTGTTGGCTACCTTCGAGTACTACACTTTTAAGGTGATCTAAAAGTGGCGCCCTCTCAAGAGGTCTCGTTTATCAAACTTCACTGGACCGGTTGTACCGAATGTAACGTACAAACTCGTAAACTCTATTCTATTCTTTTCAGGACATATTTGAGTGCAGAACGTGCGGTTTAACGGGTTCTTTATGCTGTTGCACTGAGTGTGCCCGAGTTTGCCATAGGGGGCACGATTGTAAACTTAAGAAAACCTCGCCGACTGCATACTGCGACTGTTGGGAGAAGTGCAAATGCCGCGCTTTGATAGCTGGTCATCAAACTGCTCGCTATAATCTTTTGTGTCGCCTTGTGATCGACACCGACCTGGCTACGAAAATAAATTCACGGTAAATGAACCGGATGTTACTAAGCGACCTGGGCATAAATTATTTTCATCTTAATTTGAAATCATTTACAAATATTTCAGAGGGGAGAGTATTCTGCTGTTCTTAGTGCAAACTGTTGGTCGTCAATCTGTGGAGCAACGTCAGTTTCGATCGGCACCTCGGCAACGTTCAACACCTGCTAGTCGCAAAACCCCTTCTGCTGATGGTACGTCATAGGATACCTTTTATAAGGTTCATTTAACAAAACGGGTTGTTTTTCTGTAAAGAGTTATGAATAATGGTTAAAGGAATAAAAATTCCTTCCAGTGTACTAAGTTACGTATTCTCTAATAGTGGTTTCTTTTCAGGAACTAGTGCTGATTCTTACATGCCCGATCATGATCTAATGCCTCCTCGCTTCAGTAGGCAAGCTTTGGAGAGACTCTTAAACGATTGGCCAGCGGTTCAGTGTATGATCATGTCTGGAGTTTCTGAAAACACCAACGAACAATTGTTCGGCGATCAAGGGCAATCGTGCCGACAGAGCGGCACTGCTTTACTCGACAAGTTCACCCATTCCTTGCTTGTAAAGTGCAGCGGAGAGGTAATTTATATGCATAAATCGTGAAGAGAAATAGTAGCGAGTTTCCATTTAAATTATTTAAGGTGAAGTGTAATACCTCGAGGTACTGGTATTCTGCTTTAAATGTTACGTTTCATGTTTTTCTAGCTGTACTTGAGTACTTTGATCGTTACGCTTATTCGGGAATTGCGAAACGACACTATTCCTGGACGCCAGGAAGAAGCTATCAATGTTGCCAGGCGCTTCGTAAGATCCGTTGCAAGAATATTCGTGATATTTACGATTGAAATGTTGCCGAATACAACCAAAAGAAGAAAGTGAGTTTGGACTGTCGACTTTCCTATGCACAAATTTGGAGTAAATCGACCGCTATCATTTTTTTTATCTCGTCAACTAATCAAATGTAACGCGTGATTCTAGCGCCAGTCAACCTTCTCAACCGTTGATGAAGTGTCGCAGAGTATTCCACGCCCTACCTAAACTAGCTGTAGAGGAGCTGTGCGAAACGGCCGATTCTTTGATCGCTCCCGTCAGACTTGGAGTAGCTCGTCCAACAGCGCCGTTTACGTTAACCGGCTCGGCGGTGGAAGTGATTCATAACTCGGAGGAATTGTTCTCTATAGAACCACTGATTCCACACAGTGGGGTGAATCCTCAAACATTGGACGCAGCTTTACAGACTCAGCAGGGGAACAATAATATTGTCATCGCAAGATCCGTATCTGGCATCGAAGAGGCAGAAGCTGGGGAAGGTAATAAATGTTTAAATGGCTTATCATTTTATCTTCAGTGTCATTGGTTAATGGCATCGCCTTTCGAGTTAACACATCTGATTTCTCTTGAAACCCTTTTCAGAGGTCCCGATGGATTTGGACGGCGACATAAGCGAGCACGAAGAATCCGGTGTACCAAGTGCAGTGGCGGGTCAACCCCTAGGTGAGGTCGACGGTAATGCAGGTGGCGTTGGCGAGGAACAAGCCGGAGACGGGGAATCCGACACGGAGCTAGATTTGTTGGCCGAAGCTGAGACGGAGTCCGACTCGGACGACAATCATAGCAATCAGGACGCAGCATCTGCTCAGCGCAGCGTGCAAACTGGAGCAACTGCAGGCTCGGACGGCGGAATGGGTTCCATTCTGTTATTCCCAGAAGATGAGTCCGGAGAGTCGAGCCAGCAGGAAGACGACGAGAGCGAAGCCGGGGAAACGGACGAGCAGGATAACGATGACTTCCAAATGGACGAACAACTCGAACGTAGAAGGTATTATGAAATGTTTCCTCCCGTTGGCACCGTAGTCATCTAGAAAGCCTCTGTACTCTCGTGGTGACTCTCGAGGACATTTTCTAGTCGACGAAACGTAGCAAAATGTAAAGGCGAGACTTAACACGCAGAGACCGAGGAGAAATTTCCCTCGATATGTTAGAGGGGAGCCAATCGGAATTTTTTTGATATATCTAGAATGACTCTTTCATATTCATCTTAAAAAGTAGGCCTTATCTAGAATATACCATATGCTGAGACGTGAGAAAATAATGGTCGATTTTGAGGTTGACGCGAGAAGTACCGAAATTTTAGCTTCTCCCAATACATGTACTGATCGGAAGATCTAATCTAAAAAGAAATGCCTCGTTCCTTTCCATTATTACTCATATCAGGCAATGATGGAACGAAAGATGTTCATTTGAGAAGCCTTACCGGCAGATAGTTGACACGACTTAGGTATGAATTATGATTTCATAGGGTGAAAGAAGAAAAAAAAAATTCAGGAAAATTTTAAATGATTCCTCTGATCTCGGGAGTTTTGATCCGACCCTTATCCGAATCGTAGGAGTGACCTTGTCGATAAGCAGATATGTAATGATCCGTTTCAGTGGAACCTCAGGCCACTTGCATCGCAATAACCTAGCTCCCGTCTCGATGCAATGGGCGATACGAAACCGAGAGTTGAATACTCGTACAGCTGGCTTAAGAGTGACCACTGGCAGCAATCTAGTGTTCATAGATCCTTCATCTCTCAGACGTTCCACCGCTACATCCGCCGTGGCTGCTACTCAAGAACCTATTACCATGGGGACGACTGCCAGCTGCTTGGCACGAGCATTCGGAATTGCCATCAGAGAGATCGCCGATCTCCTGACGATGACGCAGGACTACAAAACGCTCACGCCCGTTCTCTCGAGAATGATGGAAATTACTTTCCAGGACGCAGCTAACTTGGAGGTGAGGGGAATCATTTGGCACTATCAACTTCGGCACGTGATTATGGAGGCTCTAAGGATGAACGAGATGCTCGTGAGATTTCATTTTTCAGGGGGAAACAAAAATTCTATTTATCGGACAAGAATGAAAAAAATCACTTCTTCTTTTTGTGCGAAAAATGAAACTCCACGAGCATCGCGTTCTTCCTCGGGTGTTTGGTGGATGTAGAATGACCCTTTCATATCCCTTTAATTTGTAAGGAAGTAAAAAGTAGTAAGCGTGTCGTCTTCGTTTCCATAGACATTCCTGGAAGGACATTTGAAACCAACGTGGGATTGGTTAATGACCGTAATGGACGCGACCGAGGCCCAGCTAAGATTCGGAGTGTCTCTGACCCGAAGCGCAGACCCGACTCATCCGGAACATCCGCTGAACAACGCGCCCTTGTTCTCAGGTGCTAATATCACGAGATTGATTAACTCCGCGGCCCTCTCCCTGACCCTGCAAGGAAATTCAGGTCGGACCCAACGCAGTGGTATCACTACATCCTCCAATATCTCCAACAGTCAAGACTCAACCCGACTCACCGTTGGTTTTACAGGAGTTGGCGAGCCTCCGAGGAGCAGTAGGGATCGCGAAGGTTTGCTTTAGAAGATCTACTCGAGTTAATGTCCTTAGTTTATCCTCACGATTCGACTTACATGGATTAAAGGGGGCGGAAAGCGTCGCTACCGCTTTATCGGGCTCTTAGAAAATCTGCGCGACCGGAAGTTTTGTCAAACCGTAACACTTGTCCTTTTTTGACGCTCTTCTCGTGAACGCATAGAGCCGAGCACGAAGGAAACGCCTAACGCCCTTTACATTTTAGGAGGAGAGTCAAGGCGCGAATTTCTCTCGTACTGTTTGTCTTTGATGAGGGCACATAACAGCGAGCACAGGGACAGTTTGCCGGTCTTGGACGTGTCGGCATTGAGGCACGTTGCTTACGTTTTCGATGCTTTGGTCTACTACATGAGGACCTTGTCGGAGCCCTTCTCCTCGAGGGGAGAATCGCAGAAGGTCTCGTCCACGTACGCACCTTGGAACGACCAGGTGAATTTCTCGGCCCCTTCCCTTGGCTAACATACTATTTTTATCGAGTACCAAACTTCCGTATTCTTTTAGAATTGCTCTTTTATTTTACTTTGGGTTTGAAGATGAGTTGAGAGGTATCTAAAGACGTTTTTTATTGCAGGACGAGAACGACAACGACGAGGGCGAGGAGGAGAATTTACCGGCCAGCACCGCGATGGAGACGTACTCCGCGGATTACCCGGATTTACTTCAAGTCCCGATTTGCGGGACAGGCAACAACAGCAATACCAGCGGGAAGGGGCGAAAGCATCCTTTCTTTCAAAGATCGGACTCCACGTTGTGCCTTGGTTGCCCGCCACTCGATCCGTTTGACACTGCCATGAGCGAAGCGTTACCGCTAGCTGACCAGCCGCATTTATTGCAGCCGCACTCGAGACGCGAAGACCTCTTCGGCGTGCCGAGGCAATCCACCGGAGCTAATCAAAACCCCTTGGAAGGATTGCCCACGAGACTGGGCCTCTCGGCCCGCGGGGTCGATAATCAAAATCCATCGGTTATTCCGAGTTTCAGCCAGGTCATGCACGGCTCTAGCTATGCATTCGCTTCGGAATCGAGGCGTGCCAACGATTCAAACGAACCGGGAACCAGCAAGTACACGGTAAGCACTGTGGCAAGTACATCAATCCCCGACGCAATCGGGTCTAGAGTATGAAGTCCCATGACGATTACAATTTAGCTCGTTCTTGGTTGCTCGTTACACTCTTTATTCCTCATTATGTTTCCTTTCATGTAAATGGGACACAGGAGAAGCCAAAGTCGTTCAATCCAGGGAACGATAATCAGCCAATGGTTACTGAACAGGCCGACAGAGCTCCGATTATAGTGTCACCGAACAGTCAAAGTGACGCCGGGTGCACGAAGAACAAGGACGTTTGTAAGACCGGTAGGAGCGTTATTGTCAGAGCTGGAACTGTCTCGGTAAGAGCTTGCTACTGTGCAGGGTAAAAGATAATTATAAGTCAGCTGATCTAAGCGATTTTTAATCCAACGACAATTCTCACCTGATGTGCAAGAAATGTATTTAATTTTTTGGTGTAAACGTATCGGGGTCCGGATGACCGGCATCGTATTTGTCAGGATTTTAATTTAACTTTTTGGATATATTCTTATGTTCTTGAGATTGTCTAACTAGTACATCGTTTATACTTGTTCGCTTAGGAACCAAATGTAAATAAAGCTGGAGCTCCGGAAGTGCTCGTCGCGTCGGCGATGGAGACGCAAAACGTGACCGAGGAGGTCGATCCAGCGGCGACGAGTCACGAAATATCGGCCCACGAGACCGTGGAAACGAGTCCCGTGGAATCTGCCAGGGCAGCCTCTTCGATCGGCTCCAACATTTCGCACAATCTTCTCCTAGGACGCTGGAGATTGTCCCTGGATCTCTTCGGCCGGGTTTTCATGGAAGACGTCGGTCTCGAGGCCGGATCCATCGTGTCCGAGCTTGGAGGTTTCACCGTGAAGGAGGCGAAATTCCGCAGGGACATGGAAAAGCTAAGGAACTCGCAGTCGAAGGACATTGCCCTGCTAAAAGTACGCGACTCGACTTGATCACTCGGAGGCGAAGCTGGGATTTTCGCCCCTCGTAATCCTTCGTCCTTTTTCGTTTCACAGGTTGAACGCGACAGGACGCAACTACTTGTGCAGACCATGAAGGAACTTAATACGCAGTACAACTTGCACAACAAGCGGGCTGCTTCTAATACACCGCCGTTGGCGGTCAACAAGATCAAAGTGACGTTCAAGGACGAACCTGCTGAAGGATCAGGTGTAACTAGGAGTTTCTACACCGCTATCGCCAAGGTGAGGGGGAACGCCTTTGCGAGGAATCGAGGAATCCTATTCTTGAGTTCATACGATCATTGGCTATAATTGATTACCCTATCCTAATGGCATGTTGGTCATTTAAATCATCCCTTGTTATCTCCAACCATAGGCGTTGCTGGCGAATGAAAAACTCCCCAATCTGGAATCGGCGCAAGTGGTATCTAGGTACACTCAATACAACATACAACTACAGAAGATAAAGAGCCGAGATCGCGATCGTGATCTCCGACGTCAGGTATGTCATTTTTGATAATAGGTTTCGCTGGAAAATATTGGGCTAATCGTGGGAAAATGATCTCGCGTGTAATTACGCAGTATAGGAGTATTACAGTATAAGGAGTTCCAACGCCATGTATTGAAATCGTCCCCACTTTAGGGGTCCAAGATATTCAGATTGTTCTCCGTTGCAGCGCCGCGAGCGCCTCCGCGGTGAAAGTTTGGAATTAAAAGTGATCGTCCAATCCTTTGCAGAATCCCCGATCATCCGGGAAGTGCCGGGAAACCCGAAGAGCTTTGTCCTTCCAAGCTCGCTCCTTCCACCCGACAACGTCCACGGAAGGAACCAGCGGATCAGCTCCTGGAAGTTCATCCTCCAATGCCCATCCGCACTTGGTTAGTCACCCGAACAACGATCATCTTACAGTTCATCAACAGCAGCTCGGGGACAGGCTTTATCCCAAGGTTCGTCTAAAATATAACCACTTCCATTCCCTTCTCGTTTGAATGCATCCCGGGGTACGTGACTTCAAAGTCACACGGCACATTGCGTTGGAGTCGACTCTATTTATTCACCTGTATGTTCATTTCAACCAACGAACGTTTGCACGTTAGGTACACGCCCTGCGACCCAGTTTGGCCGAGAAAATAACCGGGATGCTGCTCGAGCTCTCTCCGGCGCAGCTTTTGATGTTGCTGGCTTCGGAGGACTCTCTGCGACAGAAGGTCGAGGAAGCTTTCGAGCTGATCCACAGCCACGTCCAGGACCTGACGAGCGAGGCTCTCCTAGATTTGGACGTCTTCAGCTTGGCCGAGCGTTGCGGGGCCAACAAGAAGAAGATGGAAAACGCATCCAGCATTTTGGACGACTTCGCGGACAACGCCCCGCTCTTCTATTCTCCGGGGAAGAGCGGCTTTTATACGCCGAGGCAAGGAAGAGCCAGCTTCGAGCGCTTAAACGCGTTCAGAAATGTGGGCAGGTACGATATAACACGATCTGAATCGCGTTTACGCTCGGTTTCTCGAATAAATAACCCTTCTTTGTTTACCGCAATCTGGGTACAGATTGATAGGGCTCTGTCTTCTGCAAAACGAGCTGTGCCCCATATTCCTGAACCGACACGTGATCAAGTACATCCTGGGGAGGCCGATTCGCTTCCACGATCTCGCTTTCTTCGACTCGGTCATTTACGAGAGCCTGAGACAGCTGGTGATCGACGCAGAGACCAAGGACAGCAACAGCCTCTTCTCGGCGCTAGATCTCACCTTCAGGTAAGGGGCTGACTCGTATCACCTTAATTACATTACGTTAAAAACGTGGGAAACTTATTTCTCAACCTAATAGACCCGAAGGACTGATCGCAATCCTTTTCAGCATCGACCTTTGCCCCGAGGAAGGAGGCGGATCGATCGAGCTCTTGCCCAACGGAGGCGACATCGAGGTCACCGCGACCAACGTATACGACTACGTGAGGAAATACGCGGAGGTTCGCATGATCAAGGTCCAGGAAAAGGCTCTGGAGGCTATGCGAGAGGGGGTCTTCGACGTCCTCCCGGAAGGGGCCCTCGACGGGCTGACCTCGGAAGACCTGAGGCTTCTGTTGAACGGCGTCGGCGACATCAACGTTTCGGTTCTGATTTCCTACACGTCGTTCAACGACGAGTCCGGGGAATCCACGGAGAGACTAGTCAAGTTCAAACGATGGCTCTGGTCCATCGTCGAGAAGATGACGCACGTGGAGCGACAGGACTTGGTGAGTATCGTGTCTGCCATTAAGAAACTCGCCCTAGATATTAAGATAATAATTAGATATTAAGAGCATCTCGTACATATATACTCGTTGTACTCCTATTTACTTTGTCCTCGGTTTATCCCATGTCCAGGTATACTTCTGGACGGGATCACCGGCGTTGCCCGCAAGCGAGGACGGATTCCAGCCGATGCCCAACGTGACGATTCGCCCCGCCGACGACCACCTTCCTACTGCCAACACCTGCATCTCTCGCCTCTACGTTCCGTTGTACAGTTCCCGTCACATTCTGCGCCACAAGCTGCTCCTGGCCATCAAGACGAAGTACTTCGGGTTCGTTTGAACTCTCCGAGAGACCGTCGGGGGGCGCCACCGACACCCACACACGAACTCACACGGCTCACACGAAAACCCCCACGTACACCGCTACGCGGGAGGCGACACACCATACACACACATACACACAAGTACGCGATAGCTCTAAATTGAAGTCGCATTACTCGTAACGCTATAAGAAAAGCAAAGTTATGTGTTAATTTTTCCCCAATCATTCTCTTCTTTCCGTTATCTCTGTCTGTCTCTCTCTCCTCCTCCCCCCCCTCTCTCTCTCCTAAAAACAAATTTATAACATTTATAAATTTATAAGGTGTAATTACGAGTTATTATTTCGCTCTTACCGAGAAGTGGTCTTCATTGTAATAAGGTTTCTCGCGTTTAAAGTGTCATACCTTAGCCTTTATAGCGAACCAATAAAATTGAAGAAAACTATTACGCTTGGAGTGGCGACATCGGAATCCCTTTTCCGCATTTCATTTTAAACGGAAAATAGAAGACCATCCTCTCCCTGTTAGAAAGCGAATGAATTTTATTAATCCCTTGGCGGTGTCTAATTTAACCCGTTAACTGGTTAGATGGATTTTCTTAATTTATTTCGCATGTTCCAATTTAAATAGGATTCCGAGAAACACTTTAGTCACTTCCCTTTGTTTCGACGGTTTCGTATTCGAGACCCGCTCGGACGTTCGGAGAGAGATTCGGGGTCGACTAGGATTAAAAATTTCTTTTATTAGGCGTGTACCAGATGTAACATAAGATGACAGAGGAAATAGCAGGTTTCGTATAATGTATACCACAGTGGCGAAGTTCTTGCTTACGTTATGCACCACCCTAAGAGAAACGCGGCTACGAGCCGCGAGTGTCGGACAGCGAGATCGTGGAGCTTCCTTCCTCCTCTCCTCCCCCCTTTATATATATTTTTTTGTCCTTTGTTTTTCATTTTTCGAGCGTCCTAGACATTAGCGGAGTTCGCAGAGGAACGTAAAGGAAACCAAAAGAAGAGATAGAAAAACGTAGACGTAAATGAATGTTATAGGATCGCAGAGAGAGAGAGAGAGAGATGTGGCGCCTTTCTACGAGGAGCGAGACGCCGTCTCCGATTTCTTTTTCTTTTCTTCTTTTTTCTCTCTCTCTCGGCCTGGGGCTCCGATTGGGCGCGCACGCTCATTCGCGAACTCGCAATTGCGGAGATAAATAACTGGTAGATAAAATATGCTATGGCCCTCTAGCTGCCTACGTCGTATCGCTAGATAGTCCTCTCCATCAACGTTACTCGGAAAGCCCGAAAGTTCTATCAACGAAGCGATATTTTAATCCCGTCTCGGTCATTGTGGCATGCACTCGCAAATCTATGCTCGGCGAAGCCTGGAATATCAAGTTTGAGGCGGAAAGAAAATTAATATCGCGGTATGAAAGAGTCACCGTATACATGTATGTATATATATATATATGTGATACTTTCATATCACCTTAATACGCTTATTGGAAACATTTCGATAAGCCTGTTAATATTGTCCGCACCTCAAAATGAATTCCAGGTTCGTCCAGCCGCAAGTGTACGGTGTCTCCTACTTTCGGATTTGCGATACAATATACAGAAAGAATGAATTCCCTCTCCAAAGTGCCTCCCTCGCCATTTCTCAAACGCAATAATATTCCGAATTTACAGGCTTTTAAATATATATATATATACTCTCCTAAAGGATAAACTGAAATAGTAAAAAATAAACCTATTATCTTTAATTTACTTAAGAGGAAAAGAAGACGAAGAAAAAAAAAAAAGAAAAAGAAAGAAAGAGAAAAGGATACCTAACGCTAATATGTATAATATATAATAAATCTCATTATTTATAAATTTCTAAAAATCGTAAAGTTATATACAATAATTATATTATATCCGTTTATGTACTGACGAAGTATCGATAGAAACTTATGTACAACGGGTTTACCTATTGACCACTTCCTGAATTGTTTTGGGGTAATTTCGTCGTCGATTGGCTCAACTGAGCCAACGTGTCCGGTGTGGCGTGCGCCTTCAAAATCGAGTTCTCAGCTTCCAGCTGATTGATTCGGTCCATTAGCTCTGCTATCTTCTCCTTTAGCACCTCGACCTCTTCCCGCACGGCGAACATCAGATGACTCTTCACCAAGTCCTGGGAATAATTACATATATGTTTATGGTGATACGAAAGAGTCAGCCTATATATATATATCTGATGTTATGTATTATATTATCGTCACAAAATCACATCCACTTGATAACTTCTTATCCTTTGGGTTTGCAATGCCATTCTTAAAAAATTTAATTTACTGTACGTCAAAAAGTTATACTTACCATAGCTTGCTCGATCTTGTTGTCGATTGCTACGGCACTTGTCCCGGACATACTGTAACAGAAATTTCCCACATTCTACATGTTGCACGGTGAATATAAAAATGCTCGTCTCTTGGCAGTCTGCCATGAAAGTTCAACTCGAGTAGACACAGACGGATAAGAGTTTGTTAATTGACATCTTGTTAAAAGGAATATATCTCCCTCGCTATAAACTGACAGTTAATTATGTAATTAACCCCATTGAATTAAACCATCCAAACTGTGAAAATTCTTTACAGGCAAATAGGAAAAACCAGTCAGTGTTCGAAAAGCAAGATCTGAAGTGCAAAGTGAGAAAACTTGGTGAACCTTTCATTGTCCTCGAGGGTATGATGTTCATCGCTGCCCTGCGTGACTTCGGCAAGAGACTCGAGTAGTGCAGCATCGGCAGATTGGACAGCTGTTGTGACGATGCCCGAAACAGAGTCCTGCTCCTGTTCGGGCTGATGAAACATACTCCCTGGCGGCATACCACCCACTACGTTCTGGCAGCCAGCCGACACTTGGGTCATTTGCACTTGAGCATTGCTACCACTGGTCTGCGGTTGCAACTGTGCCTGTGGCAGCACTTGAGTCTGTACGGGAGCCCCGGGGCCATGAATCGAAGCCGGAGGTTGCTGCGCAGCAGGCTGAGGAACTTTGTGAATATTCTGCATGCCTTGAATCCCCTGCATCGCTGTCATCGGTTCGGCAACTTGAGGCATTTGGCTCTGAGTGGGTAACGCTTGTTGCTGCGGTTGCGGAGGCTGCTGTTGCTGTGGATGCTGCTGAGGATGCTGAGGTTGAGGTTGATGCTGCGTAACAAGGATATTGGGGGGCTGAGAGGAAGGAACGGACGGTTGCTGCTGTACCATTGGCTGACAGACATTCTGACCGGGCAGAGGTTGATTCTGAGAGGTAACCGTCACGTACGCGTCCTCAGGGTGGGCTAAATTCTGCTGAGGCACCACGCCGCTGGCACCGGTCTGCGCAATAAGAGGAATGGACCCTTGAGGCAAACTCTGGGGCTGGCCCATGTTGCTAGGATGAGTAGGTTGCAGGTTGGAAGGTAACGTAGAGCCTTGTCCACCTGGTTGCTGCTGTGGCGCCATTTGCTGCTGAGGGGTCGACTGGAAGTACTGCGGTATCTGCGAAGGGGGTTGCACCGTCGCCTGTGCCTGGACCTGGGCGGGATTATGCTGTACACTTTGGGGTATCGAAGGATTAATTGCATAGTTCGTTCCAGGAACGGTCGGGGGATTGGTCGAGGCTCCCAGTGAAGGGTGCAGATCGGGAAGAGGAGCTTGATGACCGTTGGAGTCGATGACGATGCCCTTATCGTCGGAGCCTATTGCCTTGGGAGCTTCGGGCACGACGACGCCGCTGTCGGTGACTCCGTACGATATGCACACCTCGTTCGGGTCTGGAACCTTCGGCGTGCCGATCGCCATCGGCTGGTTGACCGACGTGTGGTCGAGGTAGTCCATGCATGTCCATCTACCCCTCTTGAACGGCTCCGTGCTCTCGATCTTGACCACCTTGAATCGTTCGTTCCTGCCATGGGAGTGCACCTCCCGCAGGTCGGCATCCTGCTTGGTATTACTCGAGAGCAGGTTGATGATATTGTTGTCGGTGACGGAGGTTATGTCCAGAGTATTGATATTGCTATCGTTCACGGAATTGCTGACGTTCCCACCTTCCGAGGGCACTATCGCCAGGCCGTACTGAGAGCTGGTAGGAATGACGGGAGCCGTGCCCAGCGCCGCGTTGGTCGTGTTGAAGAACACGTCCTCCTTGGAAAAGGTATCCTCCGAGTAGCTGGGCGTCTCGACGTCGATGTCGGTGAGGCGAGAGTGCTCGATAGAGTTGTCCTCGGTGTGAGACTCATCGAGGTCGTCGTTCGAATCCTCCCCGGCATCGTTGCTCATGCGACAACCTACGGTAACGCTCGTAATCTGGAAAGAAGAGGTCTTTTTACGACATTGGTTGTTGGCCGTTGCGTTGCTCGGAGCGGACAGGCACACTGGCTGGAGAACCTTCTCCGGCTCTCCCAGTCGAATGGTCTCCGTCGTGGTACGGTGCACCGGATTCGACAGCTTCCTACTACCGTCCGACAGCTTATACGCTCTTCTGTGTACATTGTCTGCCATTATTGTCGGAACTTAGCATTCGGGAGCCAAGATCTCTATTTCCGCCGTCCTTTCGCATATTAAACCCGACATCGCTGAGGAGCAGACTGGAGTCGCTCTCTACTTCCGTCGACCTCTCCGCTTCGCAAGCTCCGGGCGAACGGATACCTCTCTAGAGCAGACTGCGGGTCGGAATCATCTCCTAATTCTCAGGATGTTGACAGTTGACCGTCTCCTCGAGTCAGCGGGCTGCCTTCGGTGCCTTTTGCAGGAATCTAGCCACGCCGACTTTCTCGCCTCGGAATATCCTACCCCTTAGCGCGCAACCGCTCTTCGGTCCTTCTTGGCCTTTTGGCCAATTACGTTACTACTTCGATGCAGTTTTCACTCTCCATGTCTTCCTCTAATCTATTACAGCGAGCGAGCAGTTTAAAAATGGCTGCCGATTCACTCGCGAAACGGCCACCAACTCTGGGACTACTGAGAAGGCTGACCGATGCGCCCCTCCGGTCGTTCACTTCAGTTCACTTCGCAACGAGTTCCCGGTACTATCTTTTCGAAAACCCGTCGGCGGGAGTGGAGGGACCAACGGGAACGTTTCCATTGGTCGAGCTTTGCCCAAGGAGTGGGGAACTTTCGCCCCGGGACCAATCGGAGGGCGAGGAATCGTCACGTGACCCCTCCACACGGGGCGCGTTGTGTATGAAAAGTCGGCTTAAGGTGTACACGCGTGGACAGGGTTGTGCACATAGAACTTACAGCATGGAGAGGACATAAATATCCGCAGGATTGGGTAGGTATAATACGCATGTAATATACGGTTTTCTACGTATATTACAACGTATAATACGTTCCTTGTTTTCTACGTCAGCGCGAGATACATATATACGTGCGCAAGTGTGCATATTTGGCGCGTAACTCTACCGAGTCTCTTGATAATATCTGATTATCCTCTTTAACTTAGAAGTTTCACTTCCAACGCGTGTGGCGTATACGCGCTAATTTTTTTTATGACTAATGCAGTTAACTTAATTTTACGAAGGTAGGTTACACAAGGTTATTTATGAATTGGTTTGCCGTCACAAATTGGGGGTGCCAGGTAGGTCGATGTTCGTGCGAAAGGTGCGAAAAGACAATTGGCAAGCAACTTGGTTATACTGTTGTAACGGGACCGCCATAAATGGCCAAGGAATTGTCATTCATTCGGTTAGTAACCGACCGTGAGGACAATACACGAGATATAAATTTAGGAGTAAGTTAACGGAGCATATAATATGGCTTTTAAGAATTACTGCGCAAGAAATGAAAGCAGAAGTCGTATAGAGCGGAAGGCGGCCATCTTGCTTTGTGTAACCTTTGTACAGAAATTTCAGTTTGCATCTGTAATGTTGAATGCGGGTAATAGAAATATTAATCTACTATCTCTTAATATATTATAGTCTTCCTTTCTATCAGGTTTTCCTGTGTTATAGAATTTGGTATTAAGATATTTTGTAATAAGAATATTTGTTAAAAACACAAACGTAAATTCTGAAACATATACTTGTCTTTCTCTCTCTTCTGATGATAAGATTTTATGGAATTATGCATATGAGATATTCATTTGTTTTCTTACGATCATAAACTGGCAGAAAAGATAGTAGATATCAAGAGACGTAAAGGGAGAAAGTACAAAACAACCCGCCATGGCTCCTTTCTTAAGTCTGAGTCATGCTCTCAGCCTGGAAAAGGATTCATCGCCTCTTCAGAAGGAAGATTTAAAATGCTTCTTCTTAGGAAGTCGATGAGTCATTTTCGGAATGCTATGCGTCCCTTGTAGCATTCCTAAAACGATGTATTGGGTTTTGCAGACTGCGGATACATGGCACTCCTAAAATAGTGCACCGAGTTCGTATCAAAGGCGCTCACGTAGCTCTAACACACGACAGTAGAAATTAAGTCTTCCGTATAAACCAGGTCAAGTTAGGTTAACGCCCGATTCTATAATTGTAGTTAACAAAGGTTTAACCGGTTTATACCCGGTTGAAACCTGCTGTAAATTATTTAAACTCCGGTTAACTGCAGTTGTGGAACCGGACCTAAAAGGTTTCTATTGGTTGCAGAGAATCTAAGACGGAAGTTTCTCGTTTCTGTTACTTTTGTGCAGCTTATCGAAACCTCTTATTCGCTCAGTCATACACGTTAGTAGAAGAATGAAATAGAGCCTTTATTCTTACATTCGTATTCCGTGGTACGAGAGGATAGTCTGCGTGAATATTAATCTACGGATCAGTTACTCGCTTGAGAGCCGAGAACATGGCACTGGTTTTTTCGTTCATGAGGTGTTCACGAGGGGTGTGACGTTTCTAATTTAAAATTTTTAAGAATCATATCGTTTCATTCATTTCCGCACAACGGCTTAATTGTAAGTATCCCGGTGAGTTGACTGAATTCATTTTATCTCGACCTTGAAACCTTTAATGGTGAGAAAATGAGTAAAGTAGTATGCGTTTTTGCCGGCCGGTAATTTTGTGTACGTGGTCGGTGTGATCGTAAACTTTACTGTTTCCGTTATATTTTAGTGCTTGCGATTAACGAAAAAGCAAGTATTCGTGCCTAAAAGTATCACAGATAGTTCTTCTATTAAGATTTTATTCGAATCTTGTAAATTTAGTTGACATCGTGTTGCATCCGAGTCATAACCTTACTTCTTGAAAGTATCATTTTGGCCTTAACTCCAAAATATATTCTAAACAGTACTCCCAGTAGTATTTTTACAGTACTCCTAAAGTATTTTAGTGGAAGCGAGAACAGAATTAGAACGTTTGGTTTAATTTTTAGATAAGTATAATCATGGTTAACCTCCTAAAGGCCAGAGGCCTGCATATGTCAGCCGAGAAGCAGGAAACGCTTTTAAAGCTAACTATACTTTCTCTAGCTGCAGTATTATGTAAGTAGCATATTTTAACAAGGAATTAATCTATCCAAATATTTTTCTAAAGTTTATGTTATAAAGATAATAATAATTTTAAGTGGTTGAAATTATCCCTCCGCCTAAGCAAGAAATGATAAAATTATTGTTCAAATTACAGCATTTGCAACTCGGCTATTCTCCGTATTAAGGTTTGAAAGTGTCATCCATGAGTTCGATCCATACTTTAACTATAGAACAACGAAGTTCCTTGCAGAAGAAGGTTTTTTTAATTTCCATAATTGGTTCGATGACCGTGTCTGGTATCCACTTGGCAGAATCGTAGGAGGTAAAGCTAGAGAATTCAATTTAATATTAAAGTATAGTTATTAAATAACATATGCGTTATACTTATTACTGGAATTGTATTCATAGGTACCATATATCCTGGATTAATGATCACGTCGGCAGCATTGTACCGATTAGCATGGCTTCTAAACATTACTATAGATATTCGTAATGTCTGCGTCTTCCTTGCCCCGTTATTCTCGAGCTTCACAACTATTATTACCTATTTACTCACAAAGGAATTAAAGGTAAGTGTTCTAAAATTAAATAAGACTTAAAGAGTATCAATATATCTCTTCAAAGTTAAATGAAGTTATAGAGGATTAACTCCATTAAATTCTGTGTCAGTTGAGAGAATGGGAATCACTAAAAGTTATGGACGAAAAGGTTTATTTTTATTTACCATAAAAACAAGATGTCGATATTACAGGATTCCGCATCAGGATTAGTTGCTGCTTCCATGATTGCCATTGTACCTGGGTATATCTCTCGATCAGTGGCTGGATCCTATGATAATGAGGGCATTGCAATTTTTTGTATGCTGTTTACTTATTATATGTGGATTAAGGCAGTAAAGACTGGGGCAATACTCTGGTCCACATGTGCTGCTCTTGCATATTTTTATATGGTCTCATCTTGGGGTGGTTATGTATTTCTGATAAATCTCATTCCTCTCCATGTACTGACGTTGATGGTAACTGGAAGATTCTCGCATAGGATATACATCGCATACAGTATTTTGTACTGTCTAGGGACCATTCTATCTATGCAAATTTCATTCGTTGGATTTCAACCAGTTCAAAGTTCCGAGCACATGCTTGTAAGTATGAAAGTGATGTCATTTTGAAAATACTTTAAGGGTCATAAGTCGATGGCAAATACTGCAAGCACTTTTATAGAATTTTAAGTATTTTACATTATTTTTTAGGCACTAGGTGTATTTGTATTATGTCAAATACATGCACTCGTAGACTACTTACGGAGTAAGATGTCACAAGAGGATTTTGAATTATTGTTCCGTGGTCTTATCGTCTCGATGGTTACGGTTTTTCTTGCCTTGGGTGCAATTTTAATGTTGACTGGTAAGACTATCGTTATTTGTATATTTTTATCATTTTAAAAGGGTCTGTGATTTATGTATAACTACTGATATTTTTAATAATTGAATAATCATTTGTTATCTATTCTACAAATAGGTAAGATATCACCATGGACCGGTCGTTTCTATTCGCTCTTGGATCCATCATATGCCAAAAACCACATTCCAATAATTGCATCTGTTTCGGAACATCAGCCTACTTCCTGGAGTTCCTTTTACTTTGATCTACAGATCTTAGTGTTTCTTTTTCCTGCTGGCTTATATTTCTGCTTCTCAAAACTTACCGATGCAAATATTTTCCTGATATTATATGGTGTCACCAGCTTATATTTTGCTGTGAGTAGTACATTTTATATTTGTTGTATGACAGTTATAAATATGTTAGCATTTGCATTTATGTTTAGGGTGTCATGGTGAGATTAATGTTGGTGCTCGCACCTGTAATGTGCATTTTGGGAGGAATTGCAGCGTCAACGTTACTTCTAACTTACATGAAGCAAGTCGATAGCAACAAAGTTATGGATAAAAAGTCGAGAAAGTTTGAGAGCAATTATGTTCTAAGAAGTGAGGTAATCTAATTCAATGAGTTTCTGCATGTTTTCAGTAATCCTTTAACTTATTTTCTTCGATCATCATTGAGAAATAATGAATGTAAAATAATTTTTCATATTGCTTATGCAATGTCTATGATTTATAATTGAACTTTACAATTTTTAGATTGCAACACTTTTCGTAATCGTGATGTCCGTTCTTTTCTTTTCTTATACACTTCATTGTACATGGGTAACTGCTGAGGCTTACAGTTCGCCCAGTATTGTCCTATCGGCTCGTTCTCCAGATGGTGGCCGAATGATTTTTGATGACTTCAGGGAAGCATATTATTGGCTTCGTATGAATACTCCAGAAGTAATTAATCCAGTTATTAATATAGACACTTATTATTGGTTTACTGTCTATTACTATGAGCATTATTATCAAATTTGTTGCTGTAATGAATGTCAGGTTAAAGTAACAAGTTATATTTCTGCAGAACGCTAAGGTCATGTCGTGGTGGGATTATGGTTATCAAATCACAGCTATGGCAAACCGCACTATTTTAGTAGACAATAATACATGGAACAACACACACATATCCAGAGTGGGCCAGGCAATGGCAAGTTCGGAAGAGAAGGCTTACAAGATCATGAGAGAGCTGGACGTTAATTATGTTCTCGTAATTTTTGGAGGACTGACAGGCTACTCGTCAGACGGTAAGTGATATCGAAGAACTTATTCTTCCAAGTTTTTAATTCTTCATGCGGTAAGTTTACATTTTCTGTGTTTAGATATTAATAAGTTCCTATGGATGGTGCGCATCGGTGGCAGTACCGAAGAAGGCAAGTCTATAACGGAGTGGGACTATTATAATTCTGCAGGAGAATTCAGAGTCGATAAAGAGGGATCACCGATATTGCTCAATTGTCTTATGTACAAAATGTGTTACTACCGATTCAGTCAAGTGTACTCGGAAGGAGGTAAACGTCACTTTTTTTATGATTAACTGGAAAGCCATTTTGGATGGAAATAAATTTTAAATCTTTGCGTGGAAAATTATGTTACACTAAAATTGGTTTTTAATTTCTTTCCATACAGGAAAACCTTCAGGGTATGATAGAGTGAGGAATATGGAAATAGGAAATAAAGATTTCGAGCTTGACACACTGGAAGAGGCATATACAACGGAACATTGGCTAGTGCGTATCTACAAAGTGAAAGACTTACGAAACAGAGGGAATTGAAGCGAGAACTTCAGATCTTTCCTCCCGATGTGTTACATTTACTACATCTCAGTGAACTGCGAACACTTTCTTTATTAAGCCTGGGTCTTACTGTCAATTGTATCGTGCTGGTGCAGTGCTCGAAAAGGGATGTGTATCGTTTCACGTACTACCTATGTCTTCGAATAGAAGGTTTTTTACTAAATATAAACATTAAATCACTAACAGAGGTGCACGCATGTACATTTTGGTTCTTTATAGAACTGTATCGAGGTAGAAGGAAGTTTAGGTGAATTACCGATAATTCTATTAGTACACGTTTTAAAGCCTGTCTCTTATTATACATTAGGTTGAATGAAACCTGATATTATTCGAAAGAGTCCTAATAATACGTACCATTTTCATGGTAGCATTTGTACTTCTTTATTCGTAATGCACTGAAGCATCTTTCCGATGATCAAGTGAGTGTATTAAGTACTTTAATGACGCGTTGCATAATGTCAATACGTAGCCAGTTATTAGGGTATAGAAGATGTACTCGATGAATATCGATAATGAAAAGTTAACGAAGTGTGCCTTCTTCGGTCGAGATTGCGAGAGTTATTATGGAATAACGCCAGGTATATTAATTCTGCTAACGATGTACCGAAAGCCTACGGACTGATTTCTTCTTGATATAACATAAAATTACTTAAGAATAACCACTGACGACTCTTTCGTTGCGATATTTTAAAAGGTGCTCGCTGTCATTAACAAATGTCATGACGGGTTAATTCATCATGGATAATTAGTGCAATGAAGCACGTTATTGAACGATAACAATGAGTATGTTTATTTAGACCAGACATTAGGGTGGTAAAGTCGCGTTTTCGTATTCGGATGCGAAAGTAGGCGCGCAATCTCGTCCGTCCGAGAGAATAAAGAGGACGATGATGCTGGCATGAAAAATATGAGTATTTATGTGGTATATTAACAATATACAGTTTGTAGGTACAAATACGGAGATATTACTTAAACTTAATCCCATTCTCCGATATACATAGCACGCGGTGCCGGCGGTATCACGCCCCTCGTCGGGATGGGTAGCCTACCATAAATATGGTTGTACGGAGAATCAGTTCTGTCGTCCGAATCTGGAATCATTAACCAATTGTTAACTCTACTAATTAAACACCTGCGATTGAATAAGGTCAATTCGTTGTCGACGGTACCAGAGACGGGCAGATTCTTAACTCTATCGAACGTACTAGTATATGCATTCACACTTGTACCCAGCTTTTGTCCTGGAAATATCGTAACAATTGAAACAGTCCGGAGGAATCGTTCCTTCGTTGTGCGTACTTAATCCATTTTATTCAACTACAGGTTGATAGTAGCGAATTAGGATAGAATAGGTAATTAGTCCCCGATGTACCCCAGTCTACGACTTGTGGGAATTTAACACGCTGACTGGCACGCACTTTTTATGTCATGCCTTCAGGGGGCCACAGAACAATTTCCATTATTCTTAGGATATAATGGTAAGACATTAAATAATACGATGGAATGGAATCACATTCTTATCGACAGGGTGTTTATTTCCCTAACAAGGAAAGTAACGTTAGGGCCCACCTCCGACTTTGCTCTCCTTTTGATATGTTACAGAGAAACGGAATCTAAGAGACACGTATTTTTTTTTGTGTCTGCCAATAAATAGTTTTAAGGTAAAATTACCCTCTAAGGGGGTGGTTTTACAGTTTTACATACACCCTACCGATTTGAATGAAACAAACGGCAAAATGTTTAGAATGATAAGCTCTTTAAGACTTACAATAAGTGCGCCGGTCACGGGCGACCACCATGGCCTTAATGGAAAGACTTAGTCCCATGGGACCACCGTGGCAGCGAAAGGGGTTATTCAAGGGGGATCTAATTGACATGCAATCGAAACTGCCCATCTGTGGACCTGGGGGGTCGCAAGGAAGAGACCTGGGTACCATTGTTGAAGAATACGTACGTACCGAGGCCGCTCTCGAAGCTTCTGGCGTGGTACACGATCGGCGGTCTTTTCCCGGGTACGTGATGGTGATGGTGTCCATAGATTTGGGAGGACTGACTGTGACTATTCGTGTATCCAGCTCCAACGTAAGACGGTGCTGGTTGCGGTCGGGCGTGTCCGTACGGAGAAAGAAGCTTCCCGTGGCCGTTCTTCGCCATCTTGACGAAATTCGGCACTCGTGCTCTCAGGCCGCAGTAATACGGATCATCTGGTGAATATCGGTTTAAATGACTTATCATTGTTTCCTTGGGTCTTATGGTGATGCGAAAGTGGCATCGTTTATAACATTTTCCTCCCCAACTGGATTTACCGAATGGTTTGAAACTTTAACACCTGAATAGGGGGACTATAAGGAAGGTCCTGTAACTCGTGAAATTCCTTTCAAATTTGTTTATAGGTATTTTAAATATAGTATATAAAAAATGAAATTTCCCGAGTTTCAGGACCTACCTTAGGGTCTCCATATTCACGTTTTAAAGTATGACACGATTTGAGACACCCAGTTCTATGAAAAGTTTTATTAACGATTGAGCTTTCGAATCCCCTTCAGGTGATACGAATGGGTCATTTTATGATATTTAAAAAAATTCATGATCAATTTAAAAATTAAATTTCACGAGCATCACGTTCTTCCTTAGGGCTTAAATAGTCACGTGTCGAATTGTCAAATGATTCTATGCATGCGGTTTGGAGAAAAGTTTTATAAATATTGTGACTTCCTGGTGTATATGTGTATAGGACACACTCTGTTAGGTACTGAAAAATCCGTTCAGGGCATTTGTAAAATTTGCCCGAGTTTCTCTCGTGGGAAGGCCCGGTCGGTCCGATGTTAGAGTCATCCTTTCCCGAAACTGGGAAATCAGGGGGAGAGTCGGAGAGCTCTCACTCACCGTATTTCTTGCTGTCGTCTTTCTTTCCCTTCTTCTCGTCGCCCGTTATGACCGGTCTGATTGAGCTGGCATAGTCATCCTCGATATCGTCGTAGTCCGGCTGGAAATCGGAAGCGGAATCGTGGGAAAGTCCTTCGGAACTCCGGGTATAAGATTACTCTACGGTTACGCATAGGACCTCGATTCGCGATTGATAAATGATTAATCCACTGTGTTTCTTAACTTCGCCTCCTGGCATTTAATGGGCTTTAGAAGCGGATCGTCCGACAGGATCGTTCCAATAGAAGAGAGGATCGTTCCAATAGAAGAGCGTTTCTGCTCTCACGCACCTTGGGAATGTCGTGCCCGTAGAGGTTTTCCCTCGGAGGAAGCTTAGGCGGTCTTTCGGCTCGTCTCTGATGGTAACTCGTGGATTGACCGTATATCGGCTCTTTCGATTCCCTGCTGGACTGCAGACCTTCGCTTGGTCCAGAGGAAGAGGCTCCTGCCACGCTGTAGGGGTCCTCGTCGGGGATCGGGATCCTGGGTCGGTTCTTTATGTCGACGGGCCTCTGGAGGGCTAGGACTGAAACGATGTCCAATGAATTAATATAAAAAAAAATAGTAACACCCTAATCAGCAAATGTATTCGGCTCGATCAACCGAAATGTTTACTGCAATTGACTAGGACTGAAACGTATGTCGAATGAATTAATATAAAAAAAAATAGTAACACCCTAATCAGCTAAAATATTCGGCTCGGTCAACCGAAATGTTTTCTGCAATTGACTAGGACTGAAACGGATGTCCAATGAATTAATATAAAAAAAAAAATAGTAACACCCCAGTCAATTAAAGTATTCGGCTCGGTCAACCAAAATGTTTTCTGCAATTGACCAAATGTAGCCATTGAAACGATTTTGTAGAAGGCAATCGAATATTTTTCTTCGTAGGATGAGCGGAAAAGGTTTGGCTAATTTTAGGTAACGATTTAGAGGTAATTGCTCGTTAGTGTAACTAGCTTACCTGGCGGCAGCTTTGACTTGAGCATGTCCAGTCCCACGACGTTGACGATAAGGACCCAGACTGGACATTGCAACAGGTCGGCTTCTGTACGAACGAAGACAATGGCGCTTAGACATTGCGTTTCCAGTCTCCGTCTGTCCGGGTATGCACACCGTGTTTCTCGAGAGAGGTTTGTTTGGTATTTGTTCATGTCGAACAGCTGGAAAAATGGTTGGTCGTTTTGTCAGCATAAATTGCAGGAAAATTAGACTGCTACATTCAGGGAAGTTTGTGACAATGGAATTAATTAATGTGGACTTTTAATTACTAGTTGACAATTGTAATCGCGAGTACCTTTCCGGGCTTCTCGTGTTCCAGGGCGCCCTGAGAGTTCCGCATGATCTCGGGGCCGATCGCGTTGTTCTCTTGATTTGTCGCTCTTACGTAGACGTTGCTCTTGCACAACCTCTTGATTAATATGTTACCTTGCTCGTCCATTTTTATTTTCACTCCTTGATTGATGTGTCGCTTGGCTTCCTCCGTTTTGGGGTCGCGCATGGGATTGTCGAAGCCGCACAGGCCTATCCTGAAATCCAACCGGAAATGCGGATTAATTAAACAATTACTGGGGCACACCGATGTCAGTTCGCAACAATGGGAGGTCTTTCATGGGAATTTATTCGGATGGGAAAAAGAAATGTCCGAGAGGTCGAGGAAATCAGGAGAGACGGTTTTTCGGCGAGCGGAAGTCAACGTAAGCCTCCGAGAGGAGACAAGAAGTCGGACCGGAAACCGAGCCCGGCATCGATATCATGGTCGGAATGAAAAAAGGAAAAAGAGCTTCGAGAGTTCCGTTGCTCGCCTCTCAGGTCTCTTTCTCCCTTTCTCGAGTTTCTCTTTGTAACCCAAAGAGACCCGCCTTTTTATCGCGCTATCCCGGGAGCGGAGCCAAGCCGGGAATTTCGGCGCGCCCTCGTTATTTCCGCTTTCCCAGAGGCCTTTCTTCTTCCCGGCGTGCGAATTCATCCGGATCTTTTGGCCTCTGGAAGAAGCGGCTCCTCGTAGCGAGAACCTTTATCGCGACTCTCTACTATCCGCGAGATAGACGATAAGACGCTACCGAGCGAGGTACGTCGTCTTGAATCATTTTCCTCCTTGCAAAAAGTGTCTCAGAATCGACCGAAGGTAGCCAATGAGACTTTTGCCGGAAATGAGATGATAGGAATCTTTATAAAGGGAATTATTAAACCAGAGGGGCGCTTATCACGACACTCTTCGTGGGATCCTCGTCGCGATAAACCTTCCTCGCGCTCCATTCCCGGACACTTTGTATATGAAATCAATTTGGGAAATCGCGTTTCCATCGATGCAATTGCGCGTGTAATCACATCGTTTTTATTTTTCATCCGGACCGGTGATAAGTTAATTAATGAAGGTTTTTTTTTCGTGAAAGGGTACACGCGAAGGGAAGAGTTCCCGCGGGTTTCCTTCTCGCCAGATCGACATGGATCTTTGTTTCTCGGTTTGTTCGGCTTCTTATCGCGTCTCAAGCTCTTTTTTATTCACGCTCTCACCTAAATCCGTCGAATCCGTCGTTGGAGCCGTTTACGGTGAGAACGGGTGCACGAGCGTACGCCTTCGCCACGCGTCTGTTTCTCTCGAAGACGATCACTTTCGCCCAGATCTCGTCGTCGATTTGATTCCACTTGTCCAGGACCTCCTGTATGTGGTCCTGAAAACAAAAAAAAAAATATATCAGACGGGCATTCGTATATTATTCCTGAAAGAATATCCTCCGCCACGCCTTGCATGTCGTTAAGAAACCCGGTAGCGTTTCGAGCCAAGTGCATTCGCGCAAGACCCTTAGAATTCGAAAATTGTATTACTGGAAATCACCCTGGAAATTGCACTGTATTAACAGGGAATCCTAAAAAAATGTCCTCCTCCTCTACGTCTTGCAAGACGTTAAGAAACCCGGTAGCGTTTCGAGCCAAGTGCATTCGCGCAAGACCCTCAGAATTCGAAAATTGTATTACTGGAAATCACCCTGGAAATTGCACTGTATTAACAGGGGATCCTAAAAAAATGTCCTCCTCCTTTACGTCTTGCAAGACGTTTAGAAACCTGGTAGCGTTTCGAGCCAAATGCATTTGCGCAAGACCTTCAGAATTCCAAAATTGCATTACTGGAAATTACACTGTATTAACAGGGGAGGAATATGACCGACGTAATCACCTCAACTCGTAATCTTGAGTAAATTCCAATACTTTCTTTCCCAAGTCTCTGGAACGACTTATCAATCAGTGGTATTCCTATCACGTCGCACGTAAAAGCTCTCGATTTATCACCGGACTGTTTAACTACAATCTGGGCATTGCACATAAAGCACAGGGGACGTTAATTCCCGAGATCTAATCTGTACCAGAGCAAGTATGTCAAATCGTTAACTCTCGGCCATTGCGTTCGGCTAATTGGCTGGAAATGTTATTCCGAAATGGAAGGAACAGCCGAACCGGTCCGCCATTTTCAGAGCGTGAAAAAAAAAGTTCCCGGGTTGGGAAGAATTTGAAAATACGGGAAAGCGTGGGTCGGCCTCTCGGGATACGTCTCACGCGTGCACACGTCCTAGCCCTTTTCTGGGGAGGAAATAATAGAGTCATTAAGAGAGGAGCCGCTTTTACAGCGGCCCCTCGGTGGCTTCGAGAGGAGTTCGTATCCTGCCAAATTGAGCCGATCCGCTCCTTTTACGGGGGCTCCGTTTAACGACCACCTACTCTCGTATCTTCTGCTTTCCTCGAGACCGAGACCGATTTTACAGGGCCCTTTTGTCGAAGCTATCGCCGAATACAGAGGTGCACTTGCACGGCTCTAAGGTCATCATGTTAAAAAGGGTATTGCAGGAGTATAACATATCTTCAATGAAAATTGATAACGCGTGTTATACATTTATGTGATTATAGCGGAGGTGCACTTGCGCGGCTCTGGGGTCAACATGTTAAAAAGGGCATTGCAAGAGTATAACATATTTTCAATGAAAATTCATAACACGTGTTATACATTTATGTGTTCCAGTGTCATGATGTTAAAAAGGGTATTACAAGAGTATAACATATTTTCAATGAAAATTTATAACGCGTGTTATACATTTATGTGCTCTAGGGTCATGATGTTAAAAAGGGTATACTTTAAAAAAAAAAATTTATAACGCGTGTTTTTTAGGACGTATTGGTATTAATTCCTCAGCACAATTTCACGAAACTACCCGTGTAGCGATATTAACTGGAGTAATATTAGTTTATGTCGCGGGTAAACGTCGGGAATACCGCAAATATTATATGAATATCTTTAGAGTCCACGCTGGCAGGAGTATGATCTTTCCTCTGGTAATGCAGCCTCGGTACGTCGGTGAATGACCGTGGGAAAAAAGGAGCAGAGTAAAAAAGCAGGAATCTGGCCGAACTGAGAGTTTTACAGGCGGAAATGACCGGCGACGAGAGCTCAAATTTACATACGCAAAAGTCAATGTTTGCCCAATGGTGGCGGCATCGAACTCTGCTTGTACAATATATCTTTACGGATACTTATGTATTGGGGCATTTGGTGTGGTTTTCTTCATTATCACTACCCATGAGGTGGTGATAATTCATCGCCGTACCCCAGGTTTCCTTTTTCATTTGGGATTCTATTAATGGATGTGGTCGGGTATGTACCTTGTAGAGTTTGTCCAAGTTGTACCAGACATCCTCCTCTTCCTGGTCCTCGTACTGAGCGTCGGCGAGGTTGTCCCTCGAGCGGGAAAGGATCTTTCGTCTCGACACCATCGCGAGGCTGCGTGTAATCTGCAAATCATCGAAAGAACTGGTCAGGTTGCATTTTTGCTGGGCACCCCAAACTTCGCGTGCACCTGCATCCGATTGCAAGTCGAGGGAGTCCGGGGCTTATTTCGGGCTTTATTAACCCTTTCGCTGCCAGGGGAATTTTTTAACCTGCACCAGGGGGTCACAATACCTAATTTCGTATTAAGAATTTTATTACACGTCACAAGTTCATCGACATCACCTCAGGGTTAATTAGTTAAGGTGAGGTGACAAGGGAGGTGGTTCAAATCAGTCGACTCGAATGAGACACTGTTTTTTTAAGCGCATGGCATCGAACTCTCCGGGAATTTTTTAACCTGCACCAGGGGGTCACAATATCTAATTTCGTATTAAGAATTTTATTACACGTCATACGTTCATCGACATCACCTCAGGGTTAATTAGTTAAGGTGAGGTGACAAGGGAGGTGGTTCAAATCAGTCGACTCGAATGAGACAGTTTTTTTAAGCGCATGGCATCGAACTCTCCGGGAATTTTTTAACCTGCACCAGGGGGTCACAATACCTAATTTCGTATTAAGAATTTTATTACACGTCACACGTTCATCGACATCACCTCAGGGTTAATTAGTTAAGGTGAAGTGACAAAGGAGGTGGTTCAATTCGGTCGACTCGAAGAAGACACTGCTTTTTTAAGGGCATGGCATCGAACTCTCCGAAGCCTCGACACGCGACTCGCGAGCACCTCGGAATTATCCTGACACTTTGAACAATTTGGATTATAGAAGGAAATTTTTGTAACTTAAAAATGACTTACTCACATCTTGACGTAATTATGTAGCTACTTGTTAGAAAATTATTTAGCCACCTGTACGGATTAAGGATCTATCAAGTTACGGAACGGTCTAATTGGAGACTGGTTGTCCTATCAGCGTAAATTAATGAAAGTAATGTGCCACGTAGTTTGCCAAAATGAAATTTGAATTTTCGAAAGGCATGACAAGATTTCGGGGAACGTGATAAGTGCAGGCTGAGGTCCTTGGATCGTTTTCAAAGTAAGAGAAAAAGATCAGGGACGTTCATGACGCACCGAGTTGCGTTCCTCGCAATGCAATCTTTCATTACTCGTTTACTGCTTTGGAAATAATTGGCAACTCCGGTATCTCAGCGACCGTTATTCCATCTGTCCTCGAATTTCCTTTCGAAAACCCATACCCGTGTGAAAAACTAGGAAGGAAATCCTAGACGACTGTCGCGAAATTATCGCCTTCCGCGTAAGTCCTAGTTAACGCGTTTAATAATTCTCTACGTGGAAACTCGAAGGTATCTTCCTACGAATAAAATTGCAGACTCTACTAAATACAATGTACTTTAATTATGCCAAACATTGGCCCGCAATGAGTCCTATTAATTGCGAAAGAAATAATTATCGAATCGACGCGTCGAATTTCGGCGTTAAGTATTCCCGCATGGTTTGAAAATGTATTTGGCGCTAAACTCTACCCAGTTTCCTGATCGACCCGATCAACCGAGTACCAATTAACGGGTTATTGGGCAGTTACCCGAAACGAGGGCCTATCGAATGAAATGATTAAATTGGTAATTAAATTAGATGCCGATCGCCCGGGCTCTGGATCATCCCTATTATCGTAACTTCCCCTAAATTCGTACCCGGGACCCGTTAATAATTCGTTAATCGCCCTAACGCCGATGAAACGCGTGGGAATAAATACGGGGCTTTGGAAAGGTGGCTCGTTTCGCTTCCAGAGTCGATTTCAGCCTCGAGAATGGGCGTAGATCCTCTAACAAGGGTCAGTCCCTGCAGCTAGGCTCGATAGTTGAGTCTCGCAAGACCTAAGCGTCTAATTTACCAACGTCGTAAATAAACCTCCACCTTAGGAACGGCTCGGACGTGGGTAAAGAGTTTTGCACCCCGACGCACGAAATGGAACGAAAAGTATCCTCTTCCCTCGGGATTGCAATCATCCTGAGATCCCTTAAGATGACACGAAAGGCGCTGAGAAAATTTCGTCCAGCTCGATAAATTAAAATTCATCTATACCATTATCAATGGTAACGTCATTTTGAATAGTCAAGTCTAGCTGCAACTAAATACTTTCGCTGATCCTTTCGTATCACTTTAAATATGATTAAACCATTGCATGTATTAGGTCGATGCACGAGTAAACGGGATTTCGATTTTACACCTAACGTAACGTGTAATGAATAGCGGCATTACTTGTGCACCAGGCCGATATTTAATTTTCTTCTCGCGTCCCGGGTAATCGACGTTGTTTGGCACCGTTTATCTCCTTCTTCGGGGTAGCTTTCAGGTGAAAGGACGAAAGGCTGAAAACACGTTTGTCGGCGAATACGGTGACTCTTTCTCGGGCTGCGGAACGGCTGTAAAATCCGATTCCACCGGCGAACGCGACGAAAGGTTCTCAGTGGCCGGCATTACCTTCGGGCTGTAAATTAGCCTTTCGTGCCTGTCGGTCGACTATTATATCGCTTCGCCCCCTTTCGATCATCGTCATTATACAGCGTGCACAGAAACGCGCGGACAAAACGCGCGGCCTTCTAATAGATTTACGCGCGGCCAACCAACGTGAAGGATGATAAATCAAACGGATTTTTGCGCAAAAATCCACCTCGACTCGCCCCCTGATTTACTGTCTTATCTCCAGTTGCTCTATATAATCGATGATAAAACGAAGAGAGACTTAATTTGCCGTTCGGCCATACATTTTCATAGACTTGTCAGGTACACGTGGTGCAGCTATCCCAAGCTGTATATTATCGAAATTCAGTAATTCTGGAAAAGCCACGTCTCTATAGAAGGGCACCGCTGAAAATGTCTATGGGAAAGATAGCATTGCTCTTATCATTCCTCGTTGTAACTACTTAGAATTTACCTAACCATGTCTGCGACCTCATTTTATATTTCCAATACGGAGCCTCGTAATGGCTTGGTGCGTCTTAAAACGGCCGTAAATATAAGGAACGAAATTATCCCAGGAGGAATTATCCTCCGGCGAGGTTTACCCTGGGGAACGTCATGCCCCCGGCAAGTTCGACATTTTACTTCCTCGTAAAAATCACGATAACGGATCCTTTCCTTTATCACGTGGCCGCAAGATCAACAATGCGCGACCATCCATTGCGACGACATGCGATTCATAGGAGAAAAGTTTTATAAATATTTTTACTTTTTGGTATATATATATAAAAAAATATATATATCACTTACATATCGACTTAACAAATGAGGCGAAAAATGTTCGGACGTTTCCGCCAAGGTCGGGAAGCGCGGGGCATATCCTGGAGAAACGATAATTCATAGGCGCGAAAGCAGGCTACCTCGAGGTCTTCCTTTTGGATCTAGGAAAATGCCGAGCATGCCGACCTGCATCTCATGCCAGACCTACCGAGTGACTGCACCTCGCTACGAATATACTTTCTCTCCCCGAGCTCGGCAGACCGAGAACTCTAGAAGGAGCAACGATAAGAAAGGGGCACACGTCGAGGAACAAAAGCCCTCCCAGGGAAGTCCGGAAAAAGTTTCTTCGATTCTACCAGGCATTCGAGGAAAGAAAAAGGCGTATCAATCTTTCCCCTCCGTTATCGGTGATTTTGGAAAGGCAATGTCGGACGCCTTAGTAGCCAAAGGGTTAATCCATTTGCATCGTTAGCGTATATGTACGCTCAGTTTTCCTTGTCACTATCATTCAGCCTGAAATTTGGTGATAAGGACCCTGTTTTTCATACTTCCTTATCGTGCAAATGGGTTAAAGGGAAACCATTCCCTTCCTTATGATGCATCAGTTTTCCTGGTCATTATCATTCAGCCTGAAATTTGGTGGTAAGGACCCTCTTTCTCATACTTCCTTATCATGCAAATGGGGTAAAGAAAAACATTTGGTGTGTACTCGTGATATAGTAATGTTCGTTTCGGCATTTTTAACGAACGGGGATTCAAGAGGAGGAACTCGCCGTTCCCACATTTTCCCTCTCGTGGTAATGGCGAAACGTTAAGAAAATCGATGATTTAGAGAATGGCGAAAACGATACGGGATTACGATCCCAGAGATTGATCCCGTTTACCCCGCGGAGGATTTTAACCTTAGCCAACTTCTATAGCTTTCCACCTTCTGAACTTTTTACCTCCTGCCGTTGATTACTGTCATATCGCCGATAATTGCAGGTCGCGAGCTCGAAGGCGTTAGACACGGAACGGTTTATAGGTGGTCGCCTAAAACGTCGACTTTCGCTTCCAATAAAGTGCTAGGTTGTTGGTCTCCTCGATAACCTAGACAAGTTTCGTAGGTTGGAGGTGGCGAGGGATCGAATTACTGAATCGGCAAAAACCGCTGCTTAAAAAAAATTCAGTAAAAAAAAATCTAAAATTTGCTACTGTCAGGATAATTAAAAAAAACCAACTCTGTCATGCGTCAAAGTCTCGGACGGTTCGATCCGGTACCCTTGAAAAAAAAAAAAATAAAATTAAAAAAAGTGTCCTCTTCGAATCGACTGATTTGAAAGGGGCTTCACTTCATCTTAATCCAATGCCCAGATACAAAAACGGACATGGGTGTACATTTGAGATTCAAATGAGACCGCTTACGTTAACATCTTCCTATCTGAAAGTCCCGCGTTAGACGTCAAATCCTCGAATGCGTTAACGAGGGCTATATAATTGTCGACGTTTCGAAAGGTCGATCGAAAGGCGCAGGTACTTTTGGAAAATTTTCCACCTGGGGCGGACTAGCCCCAGGGAAAAGGGGAATATTAAGGACAGAAGTCTCCGGAGAGGACGGCGAGTTACGCGGGGCTCTTTATAGGCAGCTCTACCTAAAACGGTGGCTTTCACTTCTAATAAAACGCGACGGCCTGTACTTTGCCTGGTAACCTCGCCGCGTTTTATCCGTAGTAGGTACTTACTACCTCTGAACTCGTTCTAAGGCGTACCGATGTAAAGGCACCTTCTAAGTTGGCGATTCATGCGAGACTCCGTGGAAGAGAATGCGAGGTATCGCGGTAAAACATGAATTATAAATGACAAAAATCTCCCCATGTAAATCTACATACTCGGTCATTGATTGTTTTTACGGTAAGTTCTGGTAAAATTACGTTCCTCCGTGATATCACATTTAGCGTCTGGGAATATAGGGAGTATTTTCGGCCCCAACATCTCGACATTTTTATCCACTTTTTAGTGATTAATTGTTAACAAGAGGTACGAGCTGTCTTGGGAGGTCCGTTCACTCGAGATCATATCTCACATGCTGAAGAAAATATACGAGCAAGGAAGGAGTTTTAAGGGAAGGAGGGCCAATGTGA